ACAAAGTGTGTATAAAAAAAAAAGTTGAATATTATAAGATATGAATAACGGTAAATTATAATTATTTTTATTCCAACACAAAATATTTACACGACAAACCTGTTAAAATAAATATGAACAATTTGTCAATAAACAGATATTATCTGTAACAAATACAACGAAACGCATGCGACTGAAGACTACGTATAAACTGAATAGTGAATGTCTAAACAATTTTTATCAGTCTTGACCATATGATTTTCTAATTTATGATTTATATATGTTAGTTTATTAGTTTTGTATGGCATTTATTTTTATTGTACATCACAATCATGATATCATAATCATGCAGGCTACAACAACGTGACCCGAATTGTGGTTTTGTCCCAAAACTTTAAGGTAGATACGGTATTGGTTTGAATTCAGATGTATTCTAAAAAATATGCTGGCCAAATAGTGGATAGTTACGTTTACCTTTTGTTTTGACAGCAGTTAGAGCAGTTTTGTATGAATATAAAAACAATTATTACATTTGCAAGACGATTCTGTATGAAAGTCGATATGAAATATACCTAATAGCAATGCTGATTATCTTATCTCAAAGAAATCAATAACTGTAACTGTAATATATCACATAGGTAACATAATAATGCATGTCTGCATTAAATTAAAATCAAATTATTATTAATTATCTAGTTAATAAGTTAAAAATTTTCTTATGAAAAACCTCATTTTAAATATTTACAGATAAGTCTACATGTCGATATCTACGTATCTACTTGTAAAACTACTAGTGAAAATAATCAGTTTTGACATAATCCAAACGTTAAAAAATTAATATGTACATAATCAAATCTTCTATTTATTAATTATTTGACCCAATTTTTATGTACATATAAGGGCAGTCTTCTTTGTTAAAATTCAATTAATTATACAACCATACTAACCCGTTTAATTAAAAGAAATATAACCGCTTACTGGACGTAACATTTTTCCTCACAGAATAATAATATCATATGCCCAAGTCACCGCTGTAACTCAACCAAGTTATACATCCACTTATATAATTTAGATAAAATCATTAATAAGACTTGAAAAATATTAACAAAAAAATGATTTATATATTTATTTAATTTATTTTACTTATTCTATCGAGATAGTCGTATTACTTTTGTTTTATTGAGCATATGGAACAAGGATTTTCTACTTATTGAATTATTTAATGTGAACAGTAAAATATTTAAGTTTAATTAAAAAATAATAATAATAATAATCCTAATAAAATTCAATAGGAATAATCAATTCACAAAAAATGAACCAACTCTTGTTTACTATCTTAAAAAAAAAAAACGAATCGAATAGGGCTCTAATATACAATTGAAAAATTAAGTTTCAGAAGTAAATAGTTTAGGACAAAAGTAGATGTAAACACATTTACATTATAAACCAGCAGGGACTATTTTTTTTTCTTTGTTAAAATAGTACACATGTTTTTGAAAATGGGTTATTTTTTAATAATAAGCGAAAATAGTGCATTTAAATATATTTTAATCGTTTTTTTCCCATAAATATTAATGCTACTCAATTAGATAAACTTAGTATCTCCAGTTCCGATATCGACTAATAATATTAATTAAAGCTAATATTCAAACATATATTCAACAAATAAAAAATAGAACGAATACTTTAAATAAGAATAATAATAAAAAAATAAGAATGTATTAAATCCTTATACCATTTCTTTGGTGAATAATTACGAAACATAAATAATATTGAAATATAATAAAAAAAAACTATTTAAAAATGTTATTGTGGCCATAGAACAAACAGTGAAGTTTTCTGAAAGTTATATTTCATTGTATTTTTCTGATATAATTAATACAATTAATTTTAATACTTGAATTCCTTTATTTTTGTGATACAGTTAAGAATAAATTTAGATTTTGTTATAAAAGCTTTGTCTTCTATATTTGATAAATCAAAATCTAGTTTCTACTTTAATATAAAAAATAAAATAATTACTTAAATAAACTTTTATACAAAAAAATTATTCGAAATTCTTCAAATAGGTATGCAGTCATCCAAAAATAAGCATTTATATGCAAAATAAACTTTTTCCTATGTATTCTTTGTTACATAAAACGTACACATTTCATACTCCCATAAAAGTGCATACATTCATCACAAATATGTAAATGCATGCAAATCCGGACTCCAATTATGACAATAATATTATATTGACAAATTAAACTTAAAATATTTAAGTCTATCTAAATTATAATCATTTTTTTATGAGTCTGTTGATTAAACGTTTTGCGAAAGAACAAGCATATAGTAGTATTATTGTCAAATAATAAAAAAAATGATCTATCAGATAAATATTAAATATTTGTACAAATTTTATTAATTTTTATTACATATTTTATTACATTTTATAAGTTTTTTATTAGAAAAAATAGAAACATTTACAATCTGTATTTAATTAATACGAATATTATAAAATAGATTCTCAATTGTATCTAGTCTATCAATTATTATTTAATTATAATTAAAGACTAGATTTAATAGATATTGCAACTTTTTATTGATACCAGGTGAATCAAATCTGATCAAATATGTTTACGAATCAGAATAATTAGTCTTCTTGTTTAATTGAATAATGAAATTTTTTTTGCAATTTTTAACAATTTTGCAATTCTTGAAGTTATTATAATTTTTGTCTAATTTATGTGATAAAATATACAAATTACTTCTGAATTTCACAATAAAAATATAACTACAACATAATTTTTACATATAATTAAATGTAGTAAAGTATTTTTAAAATTATATTTATCCGAGTTATCCAAAAAATTCACAAATTTAGAAGAATCAAATAGTCAATTACTTAAAAGTTTATAAATATTTAGTGAAGTTGAAAATATTTTGATAAATATTCTCGGTCACAATGGGAAAATAGTTAAAGGTGTTTTAAAATATGTCTTAGGAAAAAAATTAAGGATATAAAACTATTAAAACTTACTCTGAAGTTATGATAGAAAATCAAAATATTAATTTAGATACAACACCAAATTTTTTAAATTATTTTAAATATGCACCGATAACAAGTGTAGACGTTGAACGTACTTTTTCATTATATAAACAAGTTTTATTTAACAGAACATACAATTTTTAAAAACAAAATTTAGAGATGTATATAATTATAAATTTTAATTCGGAAAAATTATATCGTTTGTAAATATTATTTTAATGTCCATAATATTATTTAAATAAGTAATTAATGATTATATATTTGATATGATTTTACCATGTTATTTTAATGTATTTTTCAATGCTATTTGAACATATTCATACTGCAATTTTGATTAACTGTCATTGCAATTTAAACATCTTTTAGTGCAAATTTAAGTTTTTTTTAATGCAATTATATCCATTCTTTACTTATTATAATTTAACTTTGTTTAAAATAATATAAAATATAGTATAATATAATGTATATGTAATGTAGTATTTTACCGATTATAAAATAATGATTTAGGCAACTACAATTAAAAATCTATAATAATTATGATATAATTGATATAAAGAATATTCATTTTGAAAAAGTGAAGAATATATCGCACATCCATATCAAAATAGTAATAACTCAAAAAGTTGGTTTTTTTTGTTAAACGTATATTCGTATTCTACAAACGAAATTACATAAACCAACAAAACAGGTTTATCTTTATCTTTAATATTCTCCGTCAGATGTAAGTACATTTTATTGAATGAATGATACCAAGGTACCACCAACAAAATCGACATTCCTGAAAAAAGGCTTTTTTGAGTTATTACTGTTTTGATATAGGTGTGCTATATATAAGTTTGTTTAATAGTTTTCTGATGAATTAAAATATAATTTATTTGATATTATATATATAAAAACACCAAACATCATAACTTAAACAAAGATTTAAATTATAAATAGTAAATTTAATAAAAGTTTACTTAATAAAAAAGAAAAACATTTACTATACACGAGTGGTAAATTAAACCGATATTAACCACTTAACTTTAAAACCATACAATATAAATTAATCTATATTTAATTTGTAATGAATTATATTAATTATCAAAATCACGCAATACTTAATATAATATAAATAATAGATAAATAATTTGGAAATAGTAAAAAAAAAATTTATATTATTAAATTGATACAAAAAAAATACATAATTGACATTATAAACTAAAAAATAATATCTACATGACTAACCTAATAGACACCCATTAGACCAATCCAACGGAATAGATTCAAAGCATTCAATAATGATATCAACATTGAAACACATGAATTCATTAACAACAATATGTAATATATGTGTACAAAATGTTAAATTATGAAATTAATTAATACTTAACATTATACTATACGAATAAAAAAAATAAAAGTTTAATTTGGCTTCAATCATATAAGTAAATATTAAATTTATTACACCAAAAGGTACTGATGAATAATATGAATTAAAAAAACATAAAATGACTGTAAGTAACATTTATAATATTAATACTACTCAGTTTTAATTAATACTACTGCAAAATAAAATATACTTCTTAATCAGTCAAATTTGATGAAATACTAAACAATAAAAATCAAATAAAAATAACTTTATAAATGAATAATTAATAATACACTAGACGTAAAAGATAATAACTATGAAAATATTATAACTACTATGGCTCCTTACAAACTAGTAGAAACATTTTTAGTATATTTCAACAAATTCAAATTTAATGACTGATAATTAAAATACTATTATATAATACTATCTTATTTCTAAGAGCACTCAGAAACATAAGGATTACTAAACTATAAAAAAAATTTTTTTTTTGATTTTAAAAATCAATGCTTTATGTAAACAGTTGAGTTGGGTCATAAAACTATAAGTTAAAAAATGTAATTATAAATTAAATATAATGCATTGTTAAATATTAAATATAAAGAATTAAGGTTAAAAAATAGGCAATAATTGTTAAAGTAAAATTATTTATCAAATGCTTAACTTTTTCACTGCTACAATTTATGTTCTGTCACCTAACTGTGCTATAAAAAATAAAAAAAATTTTTATTTTTTATTTTCCAGTATTATATTTTCTATACAAAGAAATATAATAGTAGATCACAGTGAATGGGATAAATTGTTGTTACATCTGGAGCAGCGAAAGAGTTAATATACCCTTAACTCCCAATTTTGGCGACATATTGGACATTTATTATTTGCGTGCTCAGTGTCGAGCCATTTTAAAACGCAATGCAAATGAAAAGCATGTGAACATCTGCCCCACGCTGAAATAAAATAATGTATTTTTAATATGTTTACATTTTCTATATATTGCATTATTATTATATATTATATATATAATATATTAATATATTATTATATATTATATGATTCTGCATTCATATTAAATCAAGATAGGTAGAATATAGTATGGTAAAGTATACATTACCTATAGGGCATTGCGCTTCAGGATTATCACAGTTAGGGCAACATATTTCAAATTGAACTCTGCAAATGCCACAAATTCTGTCATTAGTGAACGACCAGCGCCAATTTCCGACTCCAAGGAATTCTGCAGCAGATAAAATAACAATATAATATTTTTATTTACATGATGAATATTAACATTCGTAATACTACTATATAATAAAAAAATATCAAAATTAAAACTGATAAAACTAAACACTAATCTGTTTTAAAAATTCCAACTTGAATTTTTTCTTTTATTATTTGAACAATTAATTAATACTTATGTCTTAACATAAATGTAAACATTTTACATTTTCAATTTCATAAGCTAAACTATTATAAATTGTTATTATAATTTTGCAACATCGCTCCCTCTTTCAATAGTTTGAACAAATACAAATTTCTCAACATTTATAACTAATTACGATCAATTTCTAAAGGAATTTCTACAGTACTAACCTATCTTTAAGTAAATGGGCCTCACAGGCAAACATTTTTTATTTAAATTCATTGAAAACTGTTATTGATACATTAGGAATTAATTACAATTTACCTTGATCAATACAATGCTAATAAAGTAATCATTGAAACAAGTTGGGCATTTTTTTTTTTAAGTTTAAAAAGACAAAATGGAAAAATATAAAAGATAATCAATGAATTGTTGATGAGCAGTTATACCCTGGAGTAATATTAAATTATACTCTATAATTTGCATGCAACTGTTAAATCAACTAATTCGATAGGATTCTTAATATCTACGCTCACCATGAAATAATGTTATGGATAGATATTTTGCTATTCGGTTTGATGAAATTTTTTGTTGATGTGACGGTAGATTGTCACAATAGCAATTGAACCAAAAAGAAATTCACAAAAAGTATTGAAATTTCAAATGTATAGCTCTACAATAATTTCAAAATAGAGTTCCAAAAAATAAATGCACACAACAATGTCATCACTCTGTAAAAAAGTTGACAGACATGAGCTATCTTGATAACATGACATCATTAATTTGGCCAGATATAAATATACATAAAAAAAAAATCATTTAAGAGTCAAAATGCTCACTAATTACAAATAAAACTCTTTTGTAGTGCCAATAACTGTACACTTTACCCTGTGTTGTTATCTTCCAAATTGTATTGTCAGAAATTGTTTAGGTTTAATACTACATTTTTACAACAATAAAAAATAATACTATTATTGGCATTATACATCATAGTTATTGGCACATATATGTTTTTATTTATAAAAATTGAGTTTCTGCAACTATCCTAAAATTAATTTTTTAACCAAGTACAAAAATCATTTTTGAATATATTAAATTATTTATTGTCTATATACAATTATATAATATACGTAACATATTAATTTACCATTACTTTAATAAGAGATATTTTTTTTATTTTGGTGGGCACAAACTAAATATTAAATTAATTATACAGCTAATAATACAAATTATAATAAATATTCATGATTAAATTATTGGCACACCTAATAAATTAAATAAATTAAATCTAAATTTGATTTTAGCAAGTAAATTCATTTGAAATATTTGAAGGAATCAGAATATATGAAGTTCAAACTATTTAGATGACTGTTAAATCGACAAAAGCCTATTTATGTAGATACAATTACTAATAGAATATTGAAATATCTTTACTGAATTATTCGTTCACGAAAAATACATTTATGTGGCGAGATATTTATATCATCGCATAACCTAAATCCTATATTAACCGTTGACAACCAAACTATACAAATGTTGTTGGATAACAGGAAGAAAAAAAAGAAAAGAAAAAGTGCCCAAAATAAAAATGACTTAACTATTCACGTAATCGAGTCATGGATTGTTTTACGTACACTTCACCCGAACACATACCTTTGATCACTATTCTCATGAACGACTCCGGTTGGTCCGACATTTCGGTTGACCGGACGGGGCAACAACGGTCCGGGCGGAAGACGGAACGGTCGTGAGCCGACGTGCGGCGATCGGCTGTCCGTGCGAAACAGGATCGCGGAGCGCAACAGCGGGCCGATGTAACGGCGTGCACACACGGATCGTTGCGCGACAAGCAAGCGGCAGAACGTGGTTACGGCGTTACCGGTCGCCGTCCGCAGTCCAAACGTCGTTGACGACCGAAGACCGGGTGGCGCGGGCGCCGGTATCAATTGCCGGTACTCGCGCGATCGGGGCAGATAACGCGTTGCCAATAACAACGATCTTCCGTGCCGACCGCGGTGCAAAAAAAAACTTTTAACGTCCGACGAAACACCGTTGTCGACAAGCGGACGGGCGGAGTGGTGCGGCCGAGAGGACCACGGCGGTAACTGTTGACAACGACTAGTGGTTGCGGCGGAGCGGGGTCCGGTTCACCATACCCCCTCTTGTCAACCGTCCCGATCGTTGCTACACTGTGCTCCCTCCGTACGGTACTCTCGAATATCGACGTTTTGCTTCGGTACATGCGCGCGCATCGTTTCATGTACCGCTGATATATTTTTTTTTTTTCCCCCCCCCGACCGCACCGTCTCGCATGAAATAAATATAAATATATATATAGAATATATTTATCGTCACCTCGCAATAAATATGAATATCGAATGATGGCGAAATATTTAAAAATATGTTCGGTCGAGATAAACAAGAGTTGGTCGAAAAATGATAATGTTTCGTAGAAGCTAATATTTAATTTTCAGTTTTGCGACTGACGAAAAATGTTGACAGCAAATTTCGATAATATAGGTGTCCAAATATCGATATTTTTATTAAAAAATTATCGACGTCGAGCGATTCAATTATGATACCTAATAGGTTTGTTCCGACACGGAATTCGGGATTAGTTGCAGACTAATCCGTGATTGATTTACTGCGCATGCCGTTCGTGTGGATCGATCGCCGACTCTCTGAGCTCTGTCGGAGCGCTTTTCGGATTTTTAATGATAATAAATAGATTTCAATGCAATGTGCATATTTTTTTTGGTTGATCATACACAATGCTCTCTAAGAACATAATTCGTTTCACGTAACGAGGGTTTCAAAACTACAAATTTTATTTTGCATTTTTTTTTTTTTGCATATTTCGACGTTTTTCATTTTTAGAGCATTTTTAGTGTTATTGGGTCATTTTGTTGGTTTTTAATGCATATTTGTTCGATATATTAAACCAGTTTAGCCTAATCAAAATAAAATCTAAAGACAAATTATTTTCTTTATATTCAAGTAGGTTTATCGGGTTTTTCCGTACACATTGTCAATCTTTATTTTTCGATTCAGTTTTTATCTTATCTTAATTTATTATTGACTATGGAACGTCACCGGTATTCGGTCAAATAACAAATAATCAGCTATAGTTGGTATTACCTCGCAGACGTTGCTCGTATTACGTGTGAATGTGATTTTAATGTATTAAATAGTGTGTTTAGTAATGCTCAAAATAAAAATAATATGTCATTTTTTCATTTTTAAGAACATTTTTTGGCTATTTTTTGGAGCATATTTTAAGTTGAGTTAAGGTTTTAAGTGCATTTAAATCCAGACCCTAAAGGTACGGCCACACTGCACGCGATTTGCGATACGAGCGATTAGGCGAGCGATATTGTCCAGCGATTTTTACGATTTTGGTGTGACCACTTCCGCGTTTTTATTGCTATATCAAAGTAGGTTGTTACATATAATCACTAGCTGTTTGTCACCAGTCGTCGAGATGACTTCATACAAATCAAATCGTAAACGTAAAATACTTTTATCTGAAAATTGTGCTTCATTAGAAGCTAAAGTTGACTTATTTAAACAACGATTATGGGTGCATGAAATAAATAAACATCGAGAAACCGAAGGTGAATTTCACACTCTTTTTAATAAACTTCAAAAGCACCCGGATAAATTTTTTTGAATACTGTCGTATGGACGGAAACACTTCCAAATCGGTTCTTTCATGAAAATTGTTGACGCCAACTTTTCCGACTGGACGGACATGGTGATTGAATAACGATTACAAAGCGATTAATCGCAAAGAAACAAACTATTTTGATTTTGACGCGATAGACGCGATTTATCGCAAAACGCAAATCCCACAACGCGCTGTATGTCATAGCGATTCTGTAGTTTTGAAAAAATCGCTAAATCGCTAAATAAATCGCTCGCGTCGCAAATCGCGTGCAGTGTGGCCGTACCTTAATAATAAGATATGAGATGTTTTTTTTTTTTTTTGTATTTCTGGGTTGTATTTTTTTTATTGCTGTTAATAAAAACACAATGAGCTATATTGACGATTCGGACGACATATTGTGACGTATATATTTATAATTATAATTTATTTATTTTATTATACGTAGAGTAGTTTATACGTGGTGAAACAAAAAAATTGTTGATATACGTTACGTGAAAATTCAAACGCGATAACATGAATAATAAATATGATAAAAGTTTCTCTGACTATTATTAGTCCCCGTCGGAATCAGCGGACTGTTTTGATTGTCAACAACCAATAAAACTAGTTTAATGACGTGTTGGAACAACGTGTCTGATAGTTTGAGTTTTGCGTTCAGGGTGTGTCTATTGGTATTGATTTTATTTTTGTACAGAACACGCCTAGTGCGCATATGCGAAGTGCTCCGGAGCATCGCTGGGACGCGATCCCCCCTTCGAACCCGTGAACTACCACCGCTACCACCCCTGCTTCTACTACCACTATTACTAACTGTCGTGTTAGACTGTTACGGCTCTGAGACACAACTTGATTCGAAATCGTATTCAGACGTTTATTAATTTTTGTTAAATACACGTTTCACGGCGTTAGTCTCGAACTCATATAGCGTTATTTGTCGAGTATTATCGTGATAACATTATTATTCTGTATAATCGTGAGATTTTGTCACGGAGAGTCGAGTCCACTATCGACACTTGGCGATCTGCGTTGGACAATCGGAACGCGTATGTTGTGTTATAATATAATTCGATTTGTTTATTTTTTATTTTATTTTTATCTCCTTTTCATCTAGGTCGAACCTACAGTTTCAGAAGTGGAATAGAACTAAGGTCGCCATACATTTATAAGGCGAAACCAGGACAACACAAACACAATATTGAGTAATATACTTTTTATATAACTTTTAATATATTGAGAGGACCAGTGGCGTATACAAAGGGTGGGGATGTGGAGGTCAGCCTAGGCCTTTTTTAAATGTTATAAAATAATGTTCTTAGTGTGAGAGCGTTAGAAATGTAAAAAAAAAATAATGATTTGTTTGCAAATGATCCCCCCTCATACAAAAGTTATGTATATTATATATAATATTTGATAGTAAATAGTGTGATAACAGAATATAGTGTACTTTAATTTCCCATTATCTTCAATATACAAAGTTTATAGATTATATAATGCGAGTATACCTTTATTGTATAAATCATACTATAGTACCTATATTAATAGTAATTTGAAAGTATAGAGTTAAACTATAATTATAATTAGAGAACAGATAAAATAAAAATGATGGACCCCCCCCCCCCCCGTAAAAAATTCCTATGTACGCTCCTAACCGTGACGTTACTGTATCAGAGCGCACATAATAATCGTTCCGCGCTCACAAACGCTTAAACGAAAACGCTAGTACAACGTAAGCGTTTTGCGTTCGTATAGGTGTGTCACGTATCACAGCAATCAAAATAAACGTCTAATATAAATTTGATCAAGTTAAGTAAGTTTATTTGTAGTAATTTATTTGTTTTAAACTTAAAAACATTGAAAATGTCCATTTCTGTGACATATATGGATGAAAAAACGTACATTACATTAAATGTAATGAGTGATGAGGCAAATTTGTTTTATCTTGTTATCAATTTAATTTTTGAAAACAAGGCCTAAGCGCTTAGTAAGCTAGCAGGACGTTCAGTTCCACTTGGAACGAAAGCAAAGAGATTATGTGCTTCTGTTTACTACTGGAACGGTTCATAAGCGTGAGTGATACCATTGTGAGCGCGTAAGTGTCCAAGAGGAAGGAACCCTCAATCATATTACGCCGAATAACTGAATAATATATTTTTTGTTATCTTAATAGATTTTTATCTCAATAGCATTATTATCAGTAGAGTTGAAATAATCTATCTATTTATTTAGGGTTGTCGAAATCAACAACTTGGTGTTACCAAACGATAGGGCGGAGGTAACTCTGGTAAGCCGAACGACGCTTGGTTAATCGAGCGAACTATAGTTGAGTTTTCGAACAGACCTCAGTACGTCAAAAAAAAATGGACTCGAATAACGGAGATTATACACGATCCCGTCGTAACGCGAATGGAAACAACAACGACAATAACACTAACGACAAAGGACATGAGCACGAATCGAGTGATGCACAGGAAGAACACGTCAACGTGCAGAATGGGCCGAATGAAAGCAACACGGATAACGCTATCGAATTCACACTCCTTAATTTTTTGATGACGATAAACTCTATGCTAATGATGGAGTCGAAGTCGCTAGCTAATAAAACGTCAAACGGCACGATGATTGCCCCGAACTTAAATAAGTTGATACCAGGTTTTGATGGGTTAACAAGGGGCGCGCCAGCTGAAACCTGGTTGCGGACGGTGAACGATGTGGCGAAATCACATCAATTGTCAGACAACTGTAAATTACAACTAGTACGTGCCAATTTAAAGGGTTTTGCCCATCACTGGTTCAAGTCGAGAAATATCGAAGACTGGGCCGATTTCGAAAATCGATTTCGTAAAACGTTTATCGGCATTGTGATGTCAGGCGATCGCTGGAATAAAATGTATCACCGAATGCAGCCGAGTACTGAGAATACACGCCAATATTTTAAGCACAAAATGTATCTATGCAAACAATTAGGCTTACCTTTTTACGAATCGAAAATACATTTATTGGAAGGTCTATATTCGCATGACTTGGCTATGTATTTATTATATCGTGACCATAGAGGCGAAAGCCATTTATTAAGCGACATACTCGATTATGAACAGTTAAATACATCACGTTCGATGCGTTCTCGTCAGTCGTCAACCACTATTAAAGACAACAATTTATATAAGCCGACACCACTACAGCAGAATGATGCGCCGCCGTCTAAAACAACGAATAAAGAAAGTATGGGAAACTCGACTACAGATTACAAGGGAAAACCAACAAGACAAAAAGTCCGATCGTGTTTTAATTGCGGCTCGAAAACCCATATTTCGCCGCAATGTCCTAAACCAAAAAAAGGAAAAGGCGCATGTTATGAATGTGGTTCGACGTTACATCAAATAAGAGAATGTCCCAAACGTACGAGACAAAATCCCGACGCGGCAAATGACAGTGTTCATAACCTGAAGACATTTAAGGTACAGTGTTACATAAATATTTCTCTTGCTAATGATGAAAATGTCAAAGTTAAATTTATTGGGATAATTAACCCAAATAGTCCTATCAGTCTTCTGCAGCGTCAGTTTATTCCTAATAACTATACATTAATTAAACCTGTATGTAATAATAATTTCTGTGGAATTGACGGATCTAAGTTTAATATTTTAGGTATTTTCAGATCTAATATAACAATCGGTAACATTGATACGGACTTTACATTTTTTATTATACCGAATAGCAAAAAAAATGCCTGATGCTATTTTGGGCAGGGATCTTCTGCTTAAACCAGGAATTAAAATCGAATTTTTGAACGAAAAAGAGAATATTATTAATTAATAACCAATTAAAAGTACCATGAGAATTTCAAATTACTTTTATAGTATGTATACATACTTTTTTCCAATTTCTGAATCCTTTTTGAACAAAAGTATCATCAACAGAGTGAGTGTGTAGAAAAATTTGCGACAAGTATAACAGATAATCACATCCTTTTCGATATTGTACTCGAACCAGTCGAAATATTCATACCAAGTTGTGGCAGAAAAAGCTCTATTTTGGTTACCAAACTTGACTTTGGATATATCTATCATAAAACAATGAACACAATAATAATTAAATAATAATCATACATCTACATTTTATAGTTTAGAAATGTAAAATAAAAATATAGGATATTGTATAATTTTTTGTTTAACTGAAATTATAAATTACTTGTAATATTGGGTAAATTGGATCGAGTTGAAAAATCTCCCAAATCAGTAGGCATATAATACATTTCTTTGTTTGGTTGAAATATTATTATAAATACTAAAAATACAAACTAAAATATTTTAATAATATCTAAAAACATACATTTAAGTTTAATTGAACCATATCACATACCGCAGAATAATAATATAATGTCTATACGTCATATAATAAATACCCACTCTCTCGAAGGTCCTGCATTAATTCTTATAAAAAAAAAAATTGACATTTTTTTTTATAATATTCGTTTATTATATTACGATTATGTTGTTTTCATTTTTGCATGTTCATGGTATAATATTTAATTTACTATTATATTTGTATATTGTTTAATTATGTATTATTCTTTAAATGTAAATTGTTCGAGCCGAACAAATGTCTCACTTTGTAAATTCTTATTTTTATTTTTTTTTACGATGTGGTAAATACGGGCAATATCGGCCGGTGGTTAACTTTTCGATATTTGGATATACGTCACGAACCCATCATTATTGTTATATTATTATTATTGTATGCCATTGTAAAGTTTTGTAAAATAATGTAGTATTTCAAGTAAGCAATTCAAATATCAAACTAAAATAAAAGTATATTCGTGTAGCAATAGAAAATAAGTTATCATAACAATTTAGTATATAAAAGTTTAATTGTAAAACAACATTTTTGTAATAATTTATTTAAATTAGCGTGTAAGTAATAATATGTATAATTAGGTTATTAAGTTAAATTAAGCTAAATGTATATAAGACTAAAGAATAAAGACTAATAATGAAGACTAACGAATAAAGAAGGTCTTCTATGGTGGTCGTGTGACTCGACCACTATAGGAAACATGTGCATTTTATTAAGTATTAACTTAATTCGAGTTGTGTAGTTGTGTCTATATATATGATCGGTATTTAAACTAGTGGCTCGTAACTAGGGCCAGATTTAGGGGAGGCCCGGGGACCCCGGGCCCCGAGCCTCCACTAAATGTGTTTTTTTTGCATCCAAGTATTAAACACAATATAACATTTGCAAAATAGATTTTAATCACAACTTGAATAAAAATGTTCAATAATTGTTATTGTCATACATTTATAAATAAATGTTATTATTAATATTTAATAACTAATAATATATTTATATATTATAATTGCATAAAAATTAGAAGCGAGCTTACAAGTATAAATTTAAATAAATTAACTACCTTTATTGTTTCATCACAACAAATGATTGGTTTTTCCTAACCAAAATTCTGAATATTTCAGATTAGAAATTATTATTACTTATTAAGAATAAGTTTTGGTGTCCAAATAGAGTTCATATTCTATCACAATAACAAAAAAAATATTTTAAAAAAAAGCTAAATTAGACAGTAGTTCCAAAGGTATCTCGAATCCCAGATTATCTTAAATCGATATAAATTGATTTAGCCAACCATTTATACTTCACGTGATCTCTTATATTTCACATGTATGTATTTGTCAATACTAAATGCGTTATTTATAAATAAAAAATTGTATCAACAAAGTCACTAAAATAATTTTATGGATTTTTATTGGCAACTTAATAAACATACTGAAATATATTGAAAGACCCTGACCTGCCCATGAGATATTTTAGTTTTTAAAATTAGTAATCAAAAAAAAAAATTTACTTCTAAGGGAGGGCTCAGGGCCTCCACATTCCTAAATCCAGCCCTGCTCGTAACCTTACGACTTTTATGTGTGTGTTACACACGAAATTTTATATCCGTGTTCTGGTACCTCAACCTTAGCACAAGTTGTGTGTGTTTATGTTTTTTATGTATACGATTTTACATACGAACATTTCCAATGGCTTCAAAGTTAAGCATTTTGACGACAAGCAGAGACGAAGGCTCTTTCTGCATTCAAGACGAGGTCAATTTCGACGGCATTGTTAAAAGCGACATTATTTTTGTTACTTGGACAAACTCTACAGGAGTTTTGTTTAAAATAAAATACAGGTAAGTTATTATTATTACTGACAATTTTGTGTCAAAGAACAAAATATTTTGGTTTTAACATAAATTTCTCTATTCGGGGAAAATTATTCCAATTTTTTTATTTTTGCGTGCGCGTTTGCTTATAAGCATAAACATATTTTTTTTAAATTATAAATCCATTAATAAATTTATTTACTCCATTGAGAATTAGATTTATATAAAATTTTGGATCTTTATTTGCTTTATTTATCAAATTTGAACAGGATTATTTTTATCTTTTTATTATAAAACTATTATTAATTTAATTTTGTAATGTAGTAGTTTGAGGAGGTCATGGCCTGTGGTCTGACATCAGGATAGCCCTGAAAAGGGCTGTTTTTTCCAAAATGGCCAGGAAGTCCAAAAATGTTTGGCCGCCGATTTGATGCTGTTTCGTTTTGCGACATTTTCATATAGTTTCACAAGGAATATTTTTGTAAACTATACTTTGAAGTGAAAATGAGACAGTTACACTGACAGTGGGGACCACGAAAAGGTACAGCATCACCCCCACCAGATATAATAAATATATCACTATTTCCGGGACTGTCAAAAGCACGCAAACGCAATGGCTACTAGTTCTCTCCAACATACTAGCACCCGAACTACATAGAAAAAATACGACGTTATCTATCCTCGAACAAATTAAAAACAAAACGGACCTACCAATTCATTAAAATATCTTTCTACATCCAGACAAAAAACTCAAATCAAGTCATCCAATATGGAGTTACAATATAGAACAAGAAACCCCACAAGAGTTATGGAAAAAACAATGGAAAGAGTCCAGCGTCAAAAACAGCTCCCTGGTTGACGACCCAAACATAAAACCGCCTGGCTTTGAGCTACCCCGACTAACATGGACAACACTAAATAGGATCCGATCTGACCAGGGAAGATGTAATTATCTTTTACACAAATGGTGTTTCACAGAAACACCTGCTTGCCAATGCGGAGCGGAGCAAACAGTGAAGTACATAATGCAAGAATGCCCTCAAACAAAATTTAAAGGAAGGATTGAAAGAATTCATGGATGCGATTCCAAGGCGGTGGGCTGGATGCGCGAACTTAAGTGCGCTTATAGTCCTCTTTCCTACCTACAACATCTCACCACCTACCCCTGTTTCCACCTCAAGATACTGCATGCTATTTATTTTTTCTTCTAATTTTCTTAATGTTACTTAGTTAAAATCAAATTTATATTTATTTCTGTTAATTAATTCATATTCATACATTGTTATTGTTAACGTAATTGTAATCTGTATTAACTTGTATTACTTAATATTTATTCGCCAAAACCATATGCAATAAAAAAAAAAATTAATTTAATTTTTTCAAAGTATTATTAATATAAATCGAAATATTAATTTTGGATGATTAATTCGATAATTTCATGCTTATAGTTCACCAATATTTTTTATTATAATTTATATTCATATTAGATATATTTATATAAATTTTTTTAACTTTAAAATAACATGAATTATCCAAAATTTTATTATTATTAACAATTATAATTGCCTTTGTCAAATATGTTATACCCAGTGACGTATATAGGAGGGGGGTGCCTAGTGAGCTATAGCCTCCCTCCCCCCCCGAAATTTTTAAAATGTTTGTTATATTTTAATGGTGCTTTTATGCTGATTTAGATATAATTTTATAAAAAAAAAAAAAATAGAAAAATGATTTTAACATGGTCGCATTTATTTTATCCAATTGTATTTCAATAGTTCATCAAAATGTTTTAAAACTCTCAATTTATAATTAAATGCTTTTTATTAAGAGTTAATTATATAATAAATAAATTATAATACATTTTGTTCATATCATATTTTATTATAGAAATAGTCCATTAGACATATATATATATATATATATATATATATATATTAAATAATCAAGTACCATATCATATATCCTTTATTTACGAATACAGGAATATACTTACTTTAGGAAATACGTAAATAATGTGTTCAGTTGTGAAAATGTTTATTACCTTTGTCAAATAGTTTTGGAACATTCTGTAAATGAAATGTAGATAAGTACTTACTGTGCCTTATTAGTAATTCTTAGATAGCAGTGGCAATTTAACTCTGTCCATAGTAGCCTCTCCCGAAAATATTTTCTGTATACGCCACTGGTTATATCCAGTGGCGTAATTGTGGGGTGCAAGTGCCCCCCTCTGACAATTTTTTGAGAGATAAAGGTATAATTTTGCCTCCCCAGATAATCCAACAGTACAAATAGCATCTTTTATTAATGAACTCTTATGGGTATTATTTAACAATATTGGTACCTAGTACCTGCTACTTACAATTTATGTGTATCTTAACTATAAAATGATTTAAAAGACATGTAAAATCAAATAATTAGATATAGTATAAAAAATACATACAATAAAACAATGTTTTAACTGGTGAGGGAGAGGGGTTTCACGGTTTTGGTAATAATAAATATATAGTATTGCTCTCCCTTAGATTTTTTCCCAATCACGCCACTGGTTATACCAATAAGTAAAATATAATTTTGAAGAACAACAATTATAACAAATTTATTATCAATTATTACTTGTTTAAGAAACTGAATTATAATTTGAATTTGAGAAGAATTTTTAATTAATAATGCAATTTGAACTCGGTTCTTTTAAATTCATTTTATTTTACTTTTATTATTATTATATTTATAATAATTCATTTATTTTTTTTATATATTACAGGATCAAATAATCCTTAAGAAATTAATAGTAATTTTGATAAAATTACTTTCTCTCCTTATTTTATTATTAAAGACTTTATTGATTTAATTATATTTATATGAATATTTACAATTATAACATTAATTTTTCCTTATTTATTTAATGATCATAATAATTTTGTTGTAGCAAATCTAATAATTAATTCTAATCATATTCAACTAGAATGGTATTTTTTATTTTCCTATTCAATTATATGAGCAGTATCCAATAAACTAGGTAGAGTAATTGCACTGTTAATATATATTTTAATCTTATTAATTTTACCAATATTAAATAAAAAAAAAAAAATGTAAAAGAATCAAATGTTATCTTATAAATAAAATTTAATTTTTAATTTTTATAATAGTATTTTTCATATATAACTTGAATGGAATACAACTAGTTGAATATTCATTTATTAAAACAGGTCAAATTTTCAATATCATATATTTTATATATTTATTAATTTGTACAAAATACAATTTGAGATATTTAATTAATTAAATAATTAATATTTATTAGTTAATTTATTTAAATAAAATAGATACTTTGAAAATAAAATATAGAAAATATTTATCATATTAACATTATATTGAAATTAATGATATAAAATAAATAATTTAAAGGAAAAATTTAAAATAAATAAAAATAAAATAAAAGTAAAATTAAATATAAACTTATTAACCGTTAAGATGCCGTTCTCGTAGCTAAATTCGACCGTAAAAACATGCTTTTGTACTTCGCATTTTCCTCAGCTTTCGTTAGTCGTAGAAACATGATTTCTTCATCAAAATAAGCTTGAGAAGTTCATCTAGATAACTACGTGTCAGATTTTTGCTTTTTTTTTTCAAACCAAAGATATATGCAATTTAAATTCTCAATATTTTCAAAATGTATAAAAATTATATAAAAAAGACAGTAAAATATATCGAAAATCTGACACGTAGTCATCTAGAACAATTTCTTAAGTTTATTTTGGTGAAGAAATCATATTTTTACGACTAACGAGGGCTGAGGAAAGTGATAAGTACAAAAACATGTTTTTGGTAAGTAAAATTAAAAATGTACAATCAAGTGCTGCTGTGCTGATTATTGCGGCAGCGTTCAAGAACAGTGTTCATACAACCACCCCGAGCTCGAGTGTAACCATACTCCACCAGAGATCAAAACTGGTTTTCATATCGCAACTGGGCCACTTGCCGCTTATAAATAACTAGCTGAATTACCCGTCGTTGCCGGGTTTAAGTATATAAATGTATGTAACCTGCCAAGATTAAATTTTGTTAAATCTATTGTAATTTAAATTAATTAAGATTTTTGAAATAATATTTTATACATATTAATTTAGTTTTTAAGACAATGATTATTATCATAACCTATTCGATAAGTTATAGCTTTTGGCGGCAGAAGCTTTGTTCACGATAAATTTTAGCACTAAAGGTTCAAAATAAATGTTTTATTAATAGTTTTTCAGTATGTTATCTACAAAACTTCTTTGTAGACAAAGTTATTCACTGATCTATTTGTAGGCGACAAAATCACCAAGCTACTTGGTGAGCTTACGCGTGAGCAAGCTACGTAGAACTGCCCATGTGAACCTGCCAAGATTAAATTTTGTTAAATCTATTGAAATTCAAATTAATTAAGATTTTTGAAATAATATTTTATACATATTAATTTAGTTTTTAAGATAATGATTATTATCATAATCTATTTGATAAGTTATAGCTTACAACTACCTGAACCTCTCTACAATTTGGTATTCTGTTGAATACATATAGCATCTCACTTCTCCGAATATTTTACCTTTTGTCAATAAGTTCATGGTCTTTTTGACTTTTAACCGAAACACTCTTGCAATTATATCATGTCGATCGTATGATCTTTGACCGGGAAGTAAGAGCTCTTTTAAATCGCATCTTTTAAATGAATATAACTATCTGCACGCAATTTGGCTTGGTTGTTTTTGATGTAATTTAGTCTTTAAGTTTCAATTTTGGCGTTTTTAATAATTTTTTGATAACTTTTTAATAGTTTTATTTAATATAATTCATTTTCAATAGCGCAGTTATCGACCTGGTCAAAAAATATTAAACCGATTTCAACTCTTTAAATTCAAAATTTCGAAAAATCCTTTCTTAACGCACGTCTACATCATAATAGCTATCTGTATGCCAAATTTCAGCCAGATCCGTTCAATAGTTTGAGCTGTGCGCAAGGACATATTTACGCACGGACAAAATAAACATTTGTCCTGGGCCTACGTGGCCAAGGGGCCCACTGGTGACTAAATTTGTAATATATTATTTTGTCGAAAAAAATTTTTTTTTTATTGTTTTTGTCTAAGACATAATAACAAGACAAATGACATAATAAAATATATACATAAAACAAAAATACAATGATAGTTTATATAATAGTGCAAGAATTAAGAAACCAGTAGTTTGTATTTTTAGCTATAGACTATAAGCTTAGAAATATTCGTTTGGTATTATTTATAAACTGAATAATAATACAACCTTTTTCCCGTAATATGATAACTATAGTCACAACTTTTTATATTGTTTTGTGGTAAAAATAATAATAAATACACAGCTCGCATTATAGCCATGCGCGATAACGCCGATAACATTGTACATAATATATATATTTTTATTACGAGTACATTACTCGTAATTGGTGATGGTCGACAAATAATACAAATGTACAGACGTACAGTTGCGATTTATGATTCCAACTAGCGACATATTATATTATTTTATTTTATATAAAATGTTACCAAAAAAATATCTAAGTAGCTCCGCCAAAAGAAAATTAAAAAGTTACATGGAAATTTAAATAAATATGTTGTTAAAATTAATACAGAATCATCTCCATCACTTATTACTGATAATTCAGAAAGTAAGTAGTTCAAACTAATTTATAATAAAATATATTATTGTCCGAGAAAAAAGAAACGAAATAATATAGCTACTAATAATAATAATATATATACTCTTATTTTATGCTTTTAAATAATACTCATTACTCAAGTATATATATGTAATATTTATATTTATTTTTTAGTCAATTCACAAAATTTAAATTCAGAAAATATTACTAACCAGGTTAAATCAAATGAACTATCGATTAATGAAGAATCTACGACTCAATTTATGGTAAGTTTATTTGAAAATGAACTTGAAAAACATGATCAAAATCCAATCGATAATAATTTAAATACAATTAATAACGATATAAAACAAATCAATTTTGAAAATTTCATTGACGATATTGCTTTATGGCCCTTATCCATAACGGACAATTTTTGGGAATACTTCACACTTCATCCTCCAAATCAAAATATTCAAGCTATAGACGAGTCCAAGAAATCGATAAGAGGTATTTCTCGTAAATTAAAAAAAACATAATTTTTATATAACAAAAATGAATGGTATCTCAGTTCCAAGAACTTGGTTAATATATTCTCCCTCGAGTGTCAGCGTATTCTGTTATATTTGTAAATTTTATGCTAAAACTTCAAAACATTTACTTTGCAAGAAAGGTTATAGTGATTGGCATCATATTATTGAACATGAGAATTCAACTACTCATAGAAATATAATATGTGATTATTCCAATCGTTCTGTAGAATTAAAACGAACTGATTGCCAACTAGTAAAAGAATATAAAACAGAAGTTCAATATTGGAGAAATATTTTAAAACGTACTATAGCTGTAATTCAGTTTGGCCAAAGAGGTTTAGCTTTTTTTGGGATAATGAAATATTAGGTATTTCCCATAGTGGTAATTTTTTAGGTATTATGGAATTAATAGCTAAATTTGACCCATTCCTTAAGGAACATTTAAATAATTATGGAAATAAAGTTAGTGGAAAATCTAATTATATTTCATCTCATATAATTCGTGAGCTTATATCACTGATGGCAGATAAAGTTTTAAATGTAATTGTAGAAGAAATAAAAAATGCTAAATATTTTGGCCTTATTGTAGACTCAACGCCAGATGTGACACATATAGACCAACTAGCTATAGTTTTACGTCATGTAAAATCTGATGGCCAAGCCATTGAACGTTTTATAAAATTTATAGATATTTATAGTCATAATGCTGAATACTTAACATCAACTGTTATTGAAACAATAAAACAATTAGGTTTAAATATTGAGAACTGTGTTGGCCAGCCATACGATAATGCCAGTAATATGGCTGGAAAGTATACGGGATTACAAGCGCGAATAAAAAAGATAGCTCCAGCTGCTGAATATTTGCCGTGCGCAGCACATTCAATAAATTTATTAGATGTTCGTGCTGTTGAAAGTTGTAATAATGCAGTTAAATACTTCAGTATTATTCAAACATTTTTTTTCTATATCAACTCATCGTTGGGATAGATTAAATCAAAGTTTAAAATCAAAGGGAATGCTTTCTTTAAAACCATCATCACAGACACGTTGGTCAGCGAATGCTAATGCTACTAAGGCCTTGACCCTTGGCTATTCTGAAATTACCAAAATTCTTTTTGAAATGTCTAATGATATGAATGAAAATACAAATACTCGTAATGAAGCAAAAAATATTTTTTATCAACTAAGAACAAGAGAAATGGCGATTATGATTGTTACTTGGAATTGTATATTACAGCGAATAAATTTAACTATACAAAGTTCAACAACAAATATATCGATAATAGTACCATTATACAATTCTCTATTTGATTTTATACAAAATGTCCGAGAAAATTTTGAAATATACGAAAATGAATCTTATTTAATAGTAGAAAAACAAATTGATTACAAATGCAAAAGAATAAAAAAATGTTGAAGAGAGACAACAAAGTTTAAAACAAAATGTAATTACTGATACACATTATGTAATTTACGATACATTATTGGCAGAAATACAAAAAAGAAGAGAAGTTTATGTTAATGTGGTTAAAAGATTTGGATTTTTATTTAAAGAAAACTTAACCAGAAATGAAATTATGACTAAAATTAAAGCATTAATATTGTTATATGAAAATGAACTTAATATTGACGCCGAAAGCTTCGTAGATGAATTAATTCAATTTCAAAGTCTTAATTCATCTACCAACAATAGCACAACAATAACGCCAACCGATCAATTAAAGTTTATAAGAAATATGCAAATAGCACATACGTTTCCAAATGTAGAAACATGTTTGCATTTATTTTTAACAATGCCAATAACTAATTGTTCTAGTGAAAGATTATTTTCATTTCTGAAAAGAATAAAAAATAGATTAAGGTCATCAATGAGTCACGAAAAATTGGATGCCTTAGGAATACTTTCAATAGAAAGCGATGTCACGGCAAGTATTGATTTTGATGAAATTATAGATGTATTTTCCAAACAAAAGACCAGACTAAAAATTTTTTAATAATTTATTTAAAATAGTTGTATTTTATAATTTTTAATTGTATTTATTGACAAGTGCTTTAAAGAATTAAGTATAATTTTGATATTCATATTGTATTTGTGTATATTTATTCTTTATTTATGTTATAATTTATAGCCTTATAGGCTCAATTTTTTATTTTGTCCTGGGCCATATATTTGGTAAATCAGGCTCTGGCTGTGCGTTGATAGCAGTCAATCAGCTTACTGTTTTATATATACAGATTATAAATAGTGAATACGATAACACAAATGTTCGTGACAAAATATTTGTTTTATATTTTCATAATAACGATATAGAATTTTATACTTCTTATATTATTATTCTGTTCAACCTATTTTAGAAAAATTAAAAATCTCTAAACATAAAACTGTTATAAATCGTTTACAAATAATCAATTCTAAGATATATTTTTTAAGCTTGTTGAATATTTAACGACAAATTTAATTTTTTCAACTTTGAACAAGAAATTATGAAATTTAAATCGGTATAACAAAAATACATTCGGCAGATACGAGTAATAAATTATACAATGATAGCCAGTTTAATATGGTGACCAGCGTAATAAATATAGGTACAACGTAATCCGATAACTTTTAATGATTTACACAATAAGTCCTTAATTATAATATGAATTTTTTTTATAAAGCAGTCAAATATTGTTTTTTTTCTTAGATTGTTTCAGAGGTGGCTCGTGCCTAGGTGTGCAGTTGTGCGCACACCACATAGATTATCATAGATATAAAAGTAAAATTTAATTTAAATGTAATTGAATTATCTTCTAAATTATATTTATTTTATTATACAAAATACATTTTACAAACATTTCATATTCACCAAAACTCGAAAATACTACTCCTAAAATTTGATAAGTTATGTAATATACACACATCATCTGGTGTGCAGCTCAGTCAGAACACTTCAGCCTGTGAAATATTCTCCGTCGTCGGTAGAGAGGGGGTTGACGCATAAATGGGTCCGTGGTATGCAGCAATTGCTGCACACTCGGTAACACACACGGTAAACAATATCGTCACGGCGTGTCTTATCAGAAATAGTCCACCGTATTTTCTATTTTCGTCAATATTATCGTAATATTTGTTCCAATAAATGTATTTTTAGTTTTAACAAAAGAACTTTATAATAATAAAATATGTTAGTAATCATTTCGGCTCTGTTCACTGTTATGTGTAGTTGCTTTATTTTATCATACTCACAATTTTATTTATATTACAATATAAATAATGAATTCGGTAGATTATATTTTAGAAAAAAAGTATTCTTTCAATAATATTGACGAAAAAATTAAAATAAAAACATTAGGGAGACCTATGTCTGATTTAAAATTAATACAAGTCATTAAAAAGAAAACATGTCAATTTACGCGTTCATTTACCATTGATACTTACACGATATATAATAATTGGCTCTGTGGTTGTGATAAACGTAATGCAGTTTTTTGTTTTCCGTGTTTATTATTTGGTGGAGAAATGGTATGGACCAAAACAGGAATGACAGAGATTTAAATCATTTAAATGATCGAATGAAAAAACACGACTTAACTGTTAAACATATGAATACATTTTTTGATTCATAATGTCGTTTGATATTAAATTCTTTAAAAACTGAAACCGTTACACGACACACAAGACAAACAGCTTTTCCATTAATTTCAATGAAAAAGTAATTTATAGACCATTGAAAATTCGGCAATCATCAATATATTTGCGTTTTTTTCTGTCTGACATTTTCATATGCAAACTTTACAATTAAATATCGATATCATCCGTGTACTTAAAATAACGTACTAATCAAACTAATGTGTATTAATTCATAATCTTTTCAATAGACAATAAAAGATAAGAAAACAAGTCCAATATATAAGATTATTTTTGTACTTTTATACTTTGTGGCCCGCTTGAAGATAATTGTTTACCAAAGTGGCTCCCCAAAGGAAAAAGATTGGACATCACTGGTATATAGTTAATGATAAAGTTGTTGAAAGATTTTGGGGATTTTTAAAGCCTAAAGAATATAATTCTGAAGTATTAGCTGAGTGCATTAAAGAACAACTTGCCCAACATATTGGTGATGTCACTAGTAAATTGATTGCACAGACATATATGATGGCGCTTCAGTTATGAGCGGCAATATTAACGGAGTTCAGGCGAAAATTAAACTACATTATCCAAATGCTAATTATGTACATTGTTACGCTCACCAGTTTAATTTAGTTATAGCTAATGCTGCTTCAATAAATAGGAATGTTCGGATTTTTTTTTCTAGCCTTGGAAGTTTTTGTACATTTTTTTCAACGTCTTTTCAAAGAACTGCTGTTTTGGATGAAGTTGTTCAAAGACGTTTACCTAAATCAGCTCATACAAGATGGAATTTTCATTCTAGAACAGTAAATACTGTATTCGAGTATAGGGAAGAATTAATTACTTGCATGGAAAAAATAATAAGTGATGAATCCATTAAACATATACCTACTAATAAACAGGCATCGAGTCTAAAAGGAACATTACTTGATAATACATTTATTTCTTGGCTTACAATTTTTCACAATATCATGCCTCATGTCGATATATTGTATAGTCAATTACAAAAAAAATGAAACTGACCTAACCTAACCTAACTTCAAATAACAACTCTTAAGTCATTGATGAATCATAATCATAATATAATGGTTGCTTCCATTTAGCAAATAAGCCTTTAAAGTTAAACAATTTAAATATATTGTACACAATCTTTACGTTTATTGAGTTATTGTGATTATTAAATTACACACCTCTGGCAATCATGACCTGAGCACAATTAAATGGACCCAACACTTGTTCTATTTTTTTGTCATAACACAATTTTTGTGCTACATAAGTTTCATCAAATGAAATTACTGTAACTTTGTACATTTTCATTAAAGATTTTCCTATATTTTTTATAAGCATAAGGACATCTTTCAATACGCCTCTGTCCATTATAAATTTACCTGCCCATTGTCTTAATGTTGATAAACCTAAAATCATTTTAAATGTAGGTATTAACAAATGGCTTTCTTCCTTATAGTTATATTTTAACATTTTGTATTATATTTTTGATAATGTTATTGTTAATAATAATAAATATTTATTTCTGATAACTATATTTGAATGTTTTTTATAAGTATGTACTTTTATATTATATACTATGAAGTAATAAATAAGTAAATATTCATCAAGTACGTATCTTTATAACTTTATCATTATTATAATTTTAAAATTAACATTTAATAATTTGGAATACCTGGTAATGGAAACTCCAATTTATCTCTAAGATATTTATAGGCTTTTGGTGATATACTTCTTAGTGTAATATCCGATGCGATATCTTCTGGTTCCCATTTTCCAACCTTCTTTTTTATATGAAGTATCATTTCGATTTGCTGTGGTGAAAACATATTGGATAGAGCGCTTTTAAATTTATTTTCAAACCTACCAGCTTCTAAATTAATCCAATTATTTTGTTCAAAAACTAATTTTTGCAATTCAGCATTTTTTCTTACAAGTTCTTCATTTTGTAATTTAATGATTTCTAACTCATTTTTTAATTTAAAGATCATAAAATAAAATTTTTTTCCTCATTCTTCATACAATTCACTACATTTATTAAATGTTAACTATTTTGTAAGTATTTTAATACAATTATCTTTAATATTTAATGCTGCTCATATTATAATTTTAAGTGAGTAGGTATTTAAAAAAAAATTCAAATATGTTTTTTTCCACATAAATATCAAATGTATATTAAAACAGATATAATGAAGAAGAAATTAACTCATTGATAAATCAATATACATAAAATATTAACTAAAATACATACAATGAAAAATTACTTTACACATAAAATAGTAATTAAAATACATACAATTAAGAATTGTTTAACACATAAAATATAACAAGATAGAAGTAAAATAGATTCAATGAAGAATGATCCTTGGGTACCATTTGGTAAAAAAACTGTCTTATGTTAATGTTAATAGGTAAAAGTAAATAAGTTATATAATACATTGAGATACAAATTGATTTTTACTTAAGATTATTACTTATTTTTAATAAGAATCGGTAATGAGTTTTCATCCGATAAAATACATATTTCTTTGATGGAAGAACTTTCTTCACAGGTGACCTCAAATAAGTTTCTTTTGTATGTTATGCCAGAATTCTCATTTGTTAATATTTCTAAATTACTGTAAATTAAAGACAATGTTTTACAAATATATATATATATATAATAGTAACTTGCTAGATAAAGTATTTAAAATATTTTATAAGTATACCATCTACTATGACCTGGAGATGGTGTTACTTTAAAAATTCCAGTTGAAGTACTAATTTCTATTCCAACTGTTTGAGAAGAGTATTCACACCTATATTACTAAAAATAAATTTAAAGTCAAATTATATTCTTGAAATTTTAGAGAATATATTATTACTTCAATGGAACAGCACCAATTTTCAATCTCCTACTACATTTAGGTGAACTAAATACATTCAAAACAAAGTGGCTTTAGCTCTAAATTTTGTGGACAAAGTGTAATGAACATATCACAGATACAGTAGGTATATTTCAAGCAGAATATTTTAAACAAAAATTATACAATAATAATTTATAAGTATAACTTACCTAATAATATATGACAGTATTTAAATAAATCAACTATGAACATATTAAAATCCACTTATATACTTACCATTTAAACTATTCTGTAAACTTACCTTTGTCAAATTTAACATACTGTATAAATGATCCTTCCTTTATTTGTTTCAGCTATTTTTTCCGAAGTTCTATGTTTTTAGGAAATTTATGCAAATGTACATTTTTGAGTTTTATGAGGTTTTCTTCTTACTACCACTCATACAGCCCTTGGAAACGCAAACAGGCATGGTTGATAAATATGTAAAAAAAAAAAACAAATTCAGTTCAAAATTAGAATTTAATAGTTAAATTACAGAATAAAAAATTTTGTGTGGACGAGATATTAATGACCGGCAAAAGAGTTTAAAATCACGATAGTATGTGAACCAATGAGAAGTGGCGAACGATCAGCGCCATATTTGCGCAACAAAAGACTGATATACAACTTTTGACATCATACCTAGTTTATTATATCATGGGTATAGCTAACTATTTATAAATCATAATAAATTCATCATGAGAAATTGTATTTTACTTTTTCTTAGAAATAGTTAAAATAGTTATCTAAAGGGGAAATTTTGAATATATTAGTAGAAATATTACTTCTATTAATTTATAGTTTTTAAGTTTCTAGTAAAGTTCATTTTAAATTTTTTTCATTTTTTTTTTTTTTTTTTTTTTTTTTTTTTATTTAATTAAATATGCGGTTGTAAAACTTTTTACAATATTTATAGCATGATTCAAAGTTTTTACAACATAATTTTTAAAAATTAATATAAAATATACTATAACATATATAGATTATATATTATACACTAAAAACCAGAAAAATAAATAACAATACAATAACTGTAAAAAAAATCAAAGTTTATTTTAAATGCGGTTAAATACAGTATTAATATTACTAATCTATTATATTATTCATGCAGAAAAATTGTGTTCTTGTACTTATTACGTTTCAACCTGTTTAGCTTATAAAATAAATTTTATACACAAATTAAAAAATTAAAATAATAATTTAAGCCGCCAGTAAGGACAAATTTTTATTACAATCAAATCAATCAAATTAAATAAAAACATGAAAAATGAAAAATAGATAGATTTTCTGCTTCAATAATAATTTACATATATTTCATTAATTTATTAAATTAATTAGTAATAGCTTATTTATAAATCGTTTTATATAGAGATACAGTAGAAAATAATGGTTTTTTTCGTATAAAAAGTAAAAATATCACGAAACGCCAATCTAAATCTAAATTGAAATAAAACTATAGTCATAAATGCAATAATAATACAATTGTAAAACGAATTAAAATGTAAGTGTTTCAGTTGGACGGAATTTTTGTACATTCTTAACGAAATTATGAAGCAATGTTGATAGAAAATTATTGCATAAATTAATTTTCGATTATGGTAGATAAATATACTATGATAAAATGTGTTAAAAATGGAAGTTTCACATATGAATAGGTAAGTACATACTTTACTAGTATGTTTATTATACTATAAAAAGTAATAATTATAAAAAATACTTTATGCTTTAACGTTTTTATAAAATATGCTGTCATAATATTTGTATCGGATGTATAAACATATATTTTTTCATTCCAACATAATAACTACAACCAAATAGATTACAAAACAAAATTGAACGCGTTATAGCGAACTTCATATAATTATTATTTAGTTAAATGGTCATGGTCACACAGAAAGATTATTAACCGAATAAAAAATGTATACATTTTGTCGGTATTATGATTGCTATATGTGTAAAACTTTTGGACGCAGATTTATAATATTATACATAATATAAACTATTATACATAATACATTGCAATGCAATTGAGTAATTAAATAATAATTATTACAATGCTCATAATCGTATTACAGATAATTTTTTGTTATTTTTCGAATTGACTAGATAATAATAACACAGGTGCACGATGTTAATACGTTGGTTTAAATTCATGTTACTTTCAGTTTTTGATTTTTTATAGCGGCTTTGTCTGGTCGAGCTGAAACAGAAAAAAAAATATGATTAAACAATCGTTTACATATATTTTAAATTATTCAGAAATTAATTACGAACATAATGTTATAATGAGAAAATTTACTGCAATCACTAGTACACGACTACAACCTTAAGAGTGGTTATTAGAACTTTAATTTTGTACTTATATTTAAAACGTTTATTTTTAATGAGTAAAAAATACAGTAGATACGTTCCATACACAAACAAAATATATGTCGATTGCAGACTGAAAATATTTTATTGTTACATAAGTGTTATGCGTGATTTCAGGGCCGGAATTAAGGGGGAGGGGCTCCACAAAATGTGGATTTTTTACATGCAGGTATAAAACAAAATATAACATTTGCAAAATATATTTAAATCACAACTTCAATAAAAATGTTTAATCATTGATATTGTCTTAAATGTTTTAAATAGGTAAATGTTATTATTATTATTTAATAACTAATAATATATTTATATATTATAATTACATAATTTTAGTAGCGAGCTTACAAGTATAAATTTAAATAATTGTACTACCTTTATTGTTTCATCACAACAAATCATTGATTTTTACTAACCAAAATTCTGAATATTTCAGATTAGAAATTATCACCTATTACTTATTAAGAATAATTTCCTGTGTGGAAATAGGGTTCATATTCTATCACAATAACAAAAAAAAAAAAATATTAAAAAAAAATAAATTGGATTCAAGTTCCAAAGGCATATCGAATCCCAAATTATCTTAAATCGTTGTAAATGGATTTAGCTAACTATTTATACTTCACGTCATCTCTCATATTTCACGTATATGTATTTATCTATACTCAATGCGTTATCGATAAATAAAAAATTATATCAACAAAGCCACAAAAACAATTTTAAGGAGTTTTATAGGCAACTTAATAAATATATTGAAATATATTGAAAGACCCTGACCCGCACGTGAGATATTTTACTTCTTTAGATTAGTAATCGAAATTGAAATTTATTACTTTTAGACATACAAATTCGAATAATATTTAATTTACTTGGACAAGATCCTGGAGTGAATATTATATCATCTACGGCAAACCCTCCGTTTGTTGCTTGTCCTTCCATAATAATATGAAAAGGCTTATTAGATTCTACGGTCACTTGGGCAGGCATCCATGCCGGTCTAGTAGTGTCCATATTTTTCGCCTCTAAGCTCCAGATCTATAAAATCGATTTAACATGTAATATATTAGCCAATTGTTCATCTTATCATACAGTTACAACAGCTGCTGATTGTTTTCTGTTTTTACTTTTTCCGCCGGTGTTTCTCCAGAACTGTTATCCTGTCTCATGATTTGAAGTAATGCCGATTCGCCAGCACCAAAAGCAGCGTACCAAAATGAAAAGCAAAGTTGCGGCTCGTCAGTTACTGGTATGACCGGCGATATCAATCGCACCATATTTGCGCCCAATATTTGATTGAATAAATCGTAGTAAATATAACCATCTGAAATGAATAAATATTTCATTATACGCGATTCCTATACGCATGTATACACAAAGCATAGTCCATCCAATACGTATGATTAGGCACACTGTAGTTTTTCAACCCCTTGTGCGTTTTCTAACCTGGTGCTCCAAATGTTTTATCGGGTAAATTCGAAGGTCTCCTATTCACCGTAGCCATTCTCCAAGAAGCGGGCGACTTATCTGTGCCATTTGACCAGTCGCACATATCACGCTCAAATCTACATTCGCCCGGTCGTACTTTCGCTCCAGCCGGAATTACTGTAACACCGTCATATTAGTACACATGTAAATGTGCACAAATAAATTTAAAAACATATCAAATGGTCTTATACTCGTACTTGAACAAGATCCACCGAAAAACGTGATATCATCGAATGCTATAAATCCATTAGCTCTGCTGGAACCCCATATGCCTAAAAAAACAACATTCTTACACCTTGTATAAGATATCCACTGAACATTTGTTAACACACGTATTTATAATTAACACGTGCCTTATGTCTTACGTGTTTACGAGGTTTTTTTTTCTTACCTTCAATCAAAATCTGAAAACAATTCAAATACATTATTACATTAATTGTTTATAACTAATATTTAAATAATCTTCTTACAGCGTCGTTAGGATCCTTAATAAGAGCTTGGGCATATTGCCAGTCTGGCCCTTGGTGATTATACAACCTCCAAATCGGTTTCATGACAGTTACTCCGGTGTTATCAATACTTCGAAGATAAATACTCAAAGCGCCTAAACTTGGTCCAATAGAATCAATGAAAGGTTCATTCATTACAAACCTATTTTCAGAATAAAATAAAATTTTTGTAATTAATTAAATTAAAAAGTTATTCCCTCAAATGATACAAAATTAGTTGTATTTAATAATTATTATTATGAATTAATATTGTGTATTTTCAATTTACCAAAATGATAAGCAACGAGGAGTAGTAGCCGTTTTGAAGTCTCTTGACGTAAACCATGCTCGACTTCCAGGACGTTGAAGAGTGGTACGTGACAACGTCATCAAATATCCTACGACATGAATAAATATATATATATATATATAGGTACACTAACAAAAATATAGATATCATGCCTATAATTAGAAATCGTGTAACATAGATTTATTTAGTAATTATTTTAAAAATTTGTTTTTTTTTTTTTTAATATTGATTAATTGATTTTTCAGAAATATTTCGGAATAATTTTTTACAAATCATAATAATTATGTTTTTATGTCATCAATAGTTTTTTTTTTTCTATAAAATTTCACTTTTGTTATACAATTGTAAATTTTAAAAACATTCTTATGTGTATTTATTGTTTACAATGTGTATATTATATATATTACTAGCTGAATTACCCGGCTTTGTCCGTGTGTAGTTTTTTTTTTCTATATTAAACTCTTAATTGTTTTATTTTAATTAATTTGATCAAGTACTTAATAGTAATAATAACTAAATTATGAATAAAAAAATAATAATAATATAAATAATATTTAAAAATGATTGTATAGCGAGTTACTCATTTCTAAAATAACTAAGTAATAACTAAGTCAAAACCTCTTGGTAACGTATAGTATATATTCTGAGTTTTATTTTATGGTTTAATATATAACTGAAATAAGGAATACAATTAAATTTTGAGTAATAGATCACTCGTAGGTGTAATTGGTACAACCTTGTGAAAAAAAACCGTTAAATTATTTAAATGGTACGCTAAAATACCGTAATCTATATAATATAATACCCCTATTCCTTCCCTTTCAAACAAAAAAAAATGAACAGTTGGGTGACGTGGTGATACTCGAGAAGGTATTTGTGACAAATCTGCGAAAAAAATTGGAAAAATGTTAAGTATCGTCACAAAACTGGAACAGAAAACCGGCTTATTATTTTTTATGTATAAAGATTTGTTAAAATCTATGACTAATAAAATGTGTAATATATTTAATATTGTGTACTGTAAACCGTTTTTGTTACTAAATTATATTATACCTTTAATTCAATAATTCAAATTGTTTTCACTCTTCTCTAGAAATAATATTTTTTTAAATATTAATGAAGTTAAGATTTAATTACTAATTTTGACTTTTTAACTTAAATGTTTGTGGGTTAAATTGTTATAATATTGTATCTTATTGGATTTAAAATAATTTGTATAATATTTAAGAAAAGATAATATACCTTTTTCTGTGCCTAATGTATGATCATGAGCTGTACTTCTTAGAGCAGCTCCTGAAGTTCTTTCCCAGTCAATATCATCTAAACGTTCTCTTGATCCAATGTTGCTCCATCCACATTCATCTACTTCAAATGTACAATCACCTGATGTAGCAGCAGCAATTTGAGGAGCAGCTATATAATATAAATTAAGCATTATTTTCAATATTATAATATGTATTAAATTAAGTTTTCCTGACATTGCTCAACTAAATTTAATGTTAAATGTTAAATGTTAAACATTTTTTTGGTAACAATATAATAGTTAAATTTGTCACTTATAACACGATTAAAAAAATTATAACAATTTATACAAAAGTGCGTACTAGGACAACTTCCAGGTGTTAAGGAAATATCGTCTACGGCTATATCTCCTAGATTATTTTTGCCAATTTTAGCAGTAATAACTATTTTAAACGGGTTAGCTGAAGACACGGGCACTTCAGCTTGATACCAAGAATTTCCAGCTTCACCAGTAAGTGACCAAATATCTCTATCTTCTCCTTCTCTAGTATCACTTATTGATATAGTCAATGTTCCGATTCCATTGCCATACATGTGAGTCCAAAATCGAAGGCATAATGGTGTATCTGGCCCTATAAAATAATTAACCCATTCAATGATAATCGGAACAATAAGTTGATTGGCTTTTTTACATACCGGTTGGCTCGAACTCCATGCTTGACATACGAGCCATATCACCAGGTCTTCGTGGATAAGACGAGTCAATAAATGCATAACCTCCTTCCATTCCACCATAGATAAAACTTGATCGGTCTGTTGCTGGTCCAGTTGACGGATTTTTACTTCCTCTTCCCTAAATAAGAATAATATTTCTACATTTGCTTTGATATTTATATATATTTATATAAAAAAAAAAATAAAACAAAATTATTTTATGAATAATCAGTACTATTTAAATATAATAATAAAGTATTATTATTGATTTTAAAATATATAGATGTCGTACTATTGTTGAAATCGGTAGTACACGCCGTAATCGTTTGAATACAACTTGATGAGAAATAGATTTTCAACAAAACATAGTAAAAATATTTCTGTTGAAAAACAATTTTTATTGAGTTGAATACAACGATTAATGCGATATCATATGACTGCTTCTACGTAGTGCATACACTCATTTAAGAACAATTGCGTATACGTATATTATAAAATCAATGGAGTTATTAAATTTGTAAAAAAATACTCAAAATTAATAAATATTACAATTAATATTAATTAAAATAAGGATTCTTGTTTGGAGTATTGAATTGTGTAAATTGAAACCGGTCGCAAAATGTGTACACACTAATAATACTCCCGATAAAAATGTATATGTTTATATCATATATTTTATATTGGTATATAATTATTGTTAATACATTTTTATCCATCAAATTAACACCTTATGTTGCATAAAATATTAAAGATACATTATTATTATTATTATTTTTTTTGTAACTTTTTTTTTTCGTTTTCGTTTTTCATTTTTTTTCAATTAATAGATAACGTTTTTTAAAAATGTTTTCAAAAACGTTTTCCATCTATGCTAAAAACACTCGCGATTCGTGACAACGGTGAACGGACCAATATGAAAATATGTACACCGTCGGAATACTCGGAATCAATGTAATATTGTAGTCCGTGGATACAACAATAAACGAAAACAATGTTGCTCCACGTGGAATAACGTAGGGATATTTTAGTATTTTACTAATAATTTTAGTATTCGATTAAATTTATACTATTTTTAGTCGAATCTATTATAAAAATAATACTACAATTAATATGGAACGGCATTGGATATTCGTGGAATTCTGGAATTATTACTAAAATCGTCTATAAATATCAACGTTTATTTTTATTACATTATATTATATTATAAATTGATACGCAATAACATATCGAAATGTGCATAACGTTTTATCATCGCTTACTGTTGTACGATTTTTTTCATTTTCTATTTCGTTTCATTTTATGTTTTACTAAAATTGTCATTTATTGCACCGTTTCGTTTAGTGATAATTTAATATTAGCGTTTACCGTTTGTCATTTTGTTTTCTGTTATATTTTTCAATCTTTTTATGACAAGTTATAACATTATAATTATAACGTTATGTAAACGTTTTTGAGGCATGATTTTAAACCATCAATATGTTTATATCTATAGTCGAAGAATTAAACTGTTATTTTGTTCAATAATCAACAAGAGATTTTTTTTTATAAAGTTATTCAATTTTTAAAGATTAAATTTTTACCAATGACCAGTTAAAATCGTCATCTTCATCATTAATCCATCCACAGAACCCTCCTTCGAATGTACAATGGCCTTTACATTCTAATCCCTGCTTAATTGCTATGTTGTCCACAGCGACGTAGCCACGGAATTTTCTAAACGGATCCGGCAGTTCCTTAGCAATGCCTTCTAATACAATCTATGCAAGTACATTATTATTATCACATGTATAAATTTATGCTACACAAGTACAATGTTGTCATACTTGATGGTCTTTGTTGTACGTATAAAGTACTTCTGAATTCATCCAAATTTTATTGGTTGGATCTTTAGTACCCCATAATACTCTAAAAAATCCATCAGGTCTGCCGTCTTTGTTAGTAGGTTGTAAAATAACTCTTAGTCCAGCAGCACTTAACCCATCGATATTGAAGCTTAAAATGGTACACGTATATATATTTATATATATTATTACTATAAGAACACAATGTATAATTTATTAAAAAAAAAAAAAAATTGATTACCTAAAAGAAACACATTTGCCTTCTGCTCCTGTACTTCCAAGTACTGGACTTTCAATGAATGCATTTTGACCTTCTCTAATAGTGATGTCATCTACTCGAACAACTGGTGCAGCTAACAAAGATGTTTCAAAGAAAATATAACCACCTAGATCCAAATATTTGAAAATTAAATAATCAACAGCCTTATTTAAGGTAATAAGTATTAAATTAAATTAATACAGTTTTTTAGAGTACATATTAAATATTTTAGAATAATATTATTTTGTTAACCCTTTTCCGCATCTTCTCCTTGTCCAGAATCGGTCGGTGGTCCTCCTAACCAATTTGAAAGTGTACCAGCTCCTAGTTCCCATTTCAGAGAAGAACCATTTCGATTTTTCCAATCACATGTCAATAAAGTAGGATCGACTCCAAAATCACAGGTATCTATAAATGTTTAAATTTATTTTTATCTATGTAAAAAAAATTAACACATTTTTAATTTTACCTAGTTAAATAAAATAAATGTTTATGTTTTAATACTTTAATTAAACTATTATATAATTTTTTCGTTACTATTTTATAAATAAATACATTAATATAACTTACCTGAAACAGTTCCTTGTCTTTTCACTCGAATCTGTAAAAATATATACAAAATTATCAATTTATTCGGTAATTTGGGTTGGTATAAAGAGTATAGACACTATGAATATTAAATAAATTGAACCACGGTTCAGTGAAATGAATAAAATTGTATTCTAGCTATATTAATCAAAGATTGATCTATTATAATTTAAATAATTATAAATAAGTCCATCAACATAACTAACATCATATATTAATAATATACTTGCGAAATAAGTGATAGGAACTTGGAATGTTTTAAAAAAATATTATATCTTCAATAAGTATTAGAATGTCACAAAATAATATTATTTAATTATATTATGTTCTAAAAAATAAAACTATAAAAAAATGTTCTATTCATGAACGATCAATATAATTTATGAACATAATAATACGAGAATATTTATAAATATAAACAATTTTCTAATTATTTATTTCCTAATTTCCTATTTTCTATTTTTATTTGTCCTTCCGAAAAATTGACCCTCCCAATTATAGTTTTAGATCCACGACTGTATATACTTATTATTTATAATTCAACATGACGGATTAAACTTTTTTAGTTTTGGTTATTATTTTTACCATCCGATACAAAAAAAAAAAAATGCATTTTAAAATGAACCATATGTGTAACTGTAACGTGTAACTAATTAGAACAATGATTTTTACAGTGGGTACATGATTTATTTTGTTTATGTCATGGTTGCTCCTTTGTTTTTGATGTTTGAGAAAAAAATTGTAATATGACATTGGGACAATATATTTCAGAGTCTAAATAACATGGTATTGAAAACCGTATTTAAACAAAATAAATACAAAAATACTTACAGTAACTTTTGAATCGTCAGAAAATTTTGTTATAGCGCCACACAAACATTCTAAAATTAAAATACTTGCTAATGAAAATATCAACCATGGTTTCATTTTTCCTGAAAAATAATTCATAAATTAATTTTAAAATAAATCATTTAAAATATTTAATCTTAGGTGTAATTGTTTTGTGTAATTTTTATCTATACATAAATTTTTTTCATAAGTTTCTTTTAAATGTAATTCATTTTTTACACAAGAGTTATTTAAATAGTTCTAATTATTAAACATTTACTTTTTAAACATAAATACAATAAAAAAAATTGAGATATTGCTATAATAATATCGACGAAAAAAATTATTTCTATTAGGTACTTGATTAGTCAATTAAAATCAACTATATTAGAATCATTTAAACATTTTCAATAATTGTAAAATGTTCACACATTATTATTGTTTTTTATTCTTAATTAATTTAGGTATTATTTAATTCACTTATTACATGAATATAAAACTATCGTATATTGACCACTATTGACTATTGTTCACATTCAACTAAACACTAACAAAATATTGGAACATTATACATCAACATAATATATTATACAGAATCTAGACATTACGTAATAAATTAAGAGTGGGTAGTAGGTGAAACTACAAGCAGAATTTTATACATATGTATCTAAAATATTTTTTTAAGTGTATAAATGTAAGTTTATATCTAATACAATTAATTAAATTCTACTTCGTAGTGTTATTCTAAACAATTTAATTCTGAATATTTGATTTCTCTAGGAAATAACTCTACATTAATAGGTAAATGTGATTTTACTTGCTTATCCGAATTACGAATTCCGACCTTTTAACTATAACTTAACGTCGTTTTTTGAAGTTTAAATTGATAATTACTTATATATATATATATATATTATATACCAGTCATTGATAGAGGAAGAACTTATAATTGATGATAAAGTTGGTCTAAACTTATTGGTCTAGACGCAGCTAAGTGTTGTAGAAATTAAAATTTCAAATTTCAAGATCTCATGTATAACAAAAGCTTTTTTATTATTTATTTATTTATTTTTTTTTGAATACATTGATTATTTAGCTTTAACTACGTAATTTAATTGTATTATACTATTATATTTGTTATACAAATTTGCTTTTTCCTTCTCACACGTTGAATACCTTTGGTTTTATTAATTTATCTCAATATAATGAATTATTACTACAGGACTAAATTGTATAGCAACAATTATGCTTTATTTATTATTACTATTTTTATCGTTTAAAAATGTCCAAATAAAATAATTTTAAGTTTAGTTTTCTTAACAACAGCAAAGCTAAGTTTAAAAAGCTTTCGATAATTTTAATAGTATTACTTAACTATAAATTAACTATAGTTTGATAATACCTGTTATGTTATTACATCCATGTGAAATATTGTGTTTTACAACACACACACATACGTCGAAAATAGTCTTTTGTAGGTATATTTTTCACTTTTTGCTGTACAATTATGACACGCTTTTCAAACATACATATAGATAATATTTAGATCAGTAGGTATTTATGCAACGTTAACCGTTACTCGACGCTTTCGATTACAGTAGAAATCATTTATTTACGTCTTACGTGCGTTTTATAACATATTTCACGGTCTCGTTATGAATAATATTTTTTCATTTTAACAATTACAATTTGTTTACATCTCTTTTCTTTTTACCATTATTGTTATTATTATTATTATTATTATTATTATCAATAAAAACACGTTACATTTTTGCTTGAAATCGAAACCACTAAATCGAATTCACAGTTTAAACACACACTCACGCGCGCGAGCGCCGCACGCACACACTCGCACGTGCACGAACACAATAGCAACGCATAATAAAAAAGAATGTTTAACCTTTTTTTTTTGCACAAATAATTTTGAATCGCTCAACATAACCGAAACATTGTGCTGGACACTCGAAGTCCGCAACGTTAAGCGCGAAGGCCGCGGGCTAGGTTTCCACGATTGTTCAACATTATCGCGCACGGTTCGAGTTCCGTAAGTGCGAACGTAACTGATAGTTCGGTAAAACGAGTGCGCGCGCACATAATAATACGTACCAATAATAATTAAGTCCGTTGGCACCACGCGAAGATCAAGGTTTAGCGGGGGCTGTAATTACCGAGCCGCCCGCGCGATAAAGTCAATAGCGTGAAATAAAACGCTGCGAAATCCGCTTAAAACAAGTTTTGATTTTATTGCACGTCGGCACAACAATGCTTTGTGCACCTACCTGTTTAATTAAACAGTACTACCTAGAAGTACGGACCGCAGCAGTCCTTGGAATTACAATTAAAAGGAAATCGTTCTTTTTTCGCATTTTTGTGTAAATTCTATTCGAACATTGTAATGTACAGATGCGTTATTTAGATAACATTTTTGTACGGAAAACATTTCGAATAGTCAAACCCGATTTGTTTACCTTCTTTCTAATGCTTCGATACAGATTGCGAAAAAAAATCTAAAAATTGTATTAAAAAAAATAAATAAAAACGTATGGCATCTGGCAAGGGCGTATTTGAGGGGGTGAAAGGGGACATTTACCACCCCCATCACTCGTATTTTTTTTTGAATATAATACATTGATTTGTTTAAAAAAATGTAATGTATAAATAATTAAGAATATAAATTACTATGATAAACTTATCATTATAACAGATACAAGAGCTGTAGGTAATTAACTGTCAATTATTTTTTAAGTTAGTATTGAAGAAAAATTAGTTTCCCCGCCCCCATGGCCTCAACTCAAAAACGCCCTTGTCATCTGGGTTTATTATAATACACGTTTACACGTGAACTATTACGTTAATATAACAAAACATTTTAACGCGTTATTCATTCCAAAACATCGAAATATGCCGGAGTAAAAATCAAAACATTACGATTTGATCAATTTGATCAAATTGTGTACGACTCTTCAAATAATATTTTTGAGATTTACAATCAAATTTTACCTACCGTAACATTAAAACTTCTCATCATCAAAAATAATAGCTAAATGAATTTGCTTGAAAAATCGTGATAACCAGATGATTGAAATAAGTACGTTTATTAAATTGAATTTTTCCAAAAATGTCTTTCCATATTTACTATAATAATAGATATAATATATAAATACAATAACTCATTCGCCCTTTATTAATATATAGATAATATGCTTTATATTGTAACCTATACAACATATTATTAGGTGGAAAACTGAATTGTTTTTCTTCGAATTTTTAGTTTATTGCATTATGAACTTTTGAATCTTTATACATTTTTAGCTTACGCGGTGATCTTCGAGTTAAAATAAATGAATCATAAATATTCTTTCATGACTTATTTCCCAAAGTTTTCTTACTGAATCTAACAGTATAAGTATAATCGTGTAAACATTTAATAATATGTCATATATAATGTAAAAAGGGCACAGCTTGTACATAATAATAAAATGAAATAAAAATATTTAAGTGTTAAATTTTTATTATACAAAAATGTTATTTAAAAGTAATGGTAAAAACTATTAGTTTAAAAAATAAGTACCTATTTCTTAGGTTTAAAAAACGTTAAAAAAATAACGTTAACGTTCTAAACTATGTTCATAATCTATAATACACAATTTTCCAGTAATAAAAATTATATAATGACCTACTTTCACAGACATTTACAGTGGTCATTCTTTTTCACTCGTAATTTGGTGACTTACTTGAATAATCATAGTAATAATAGTAGTAGGTACCTAATTTATTTACGTGGTATTATCAAACTAATATATAAATTCAACAAATATATATTATTTTTGTTGGAGGTCAACTGATTTCAAAAAAAGTGTTAGCCTTAAAAATAGCACCATACTAATATACTTTTTAATACTACGAACGATTCGTTGTTACTCATTAGGAATGATATCATTAGCTATACATATTATCCGTGTATTAAGATACTAAGTAGATGTATTATGACATTGGAAAATTGTACAATGATTAACTTAGACTTGCATCACAAGATTTGGTCATTTCAAAAAAATGTATGAAAAAAGTGAATAAATTATTTATTAGTAAGACTCGAATTTATTTAGGGTCTAACTTAACATTTGAGTCCTTAATTTATGCTTATGTGTTATTAGAATGTGCCCATACAGATGTATAAGTACACTAACGACAAGATATGCCTAAAATCTAACAATATGCGTTTAAAAATACTTTGCGTCTCCTATTTATACATAATTAACAATTTAAATACACAGAAACATGAAATGTTAAATTTTAAATCCTAGTTATGTGTAACTTAACTTAATACTTCTATCCCATCTTGTTATTTTTTCAAAGCTATCAAATAAAAGATATTACATAAAAATGCAGTACCAATTTATTAGTAATTAACTATTTTGAATTTTTACACGTTATATATTTATTTTACTATTAAATGGCATTCTAAAACACAAAAAATATACATACTCAAATTAAATACAAATTATAACCGATCAATATGAAGATATTTATCTAACTATGTAGTTATTTATTACCTGCCTATATATACTGTAGTTAATATACATTTTTTTTTTGTATTTGAATAAATCGAACAAATATCTTATAAAATAAAATATAAATTATCAACTCCACAAATGTAAAATGTGATGATATAAAAATATTACAGGTTATATTATTTTATAACAATAAAATAATTGTTTAAAAAAAAACCCTTTATATTTTTAAAACTTTGCTTTGACATGTAATAAATATTCACTTTGCGTGCAATACAATTTAAACAAATAAACCCTCCATTAGTATACACTTTGTATATATAATACTATAAATTATATTATTCAAAATATTGCATACAAAAATACGGTTTATTTTTCATTGATTAAATTAAATTTGGATACATTTCCAAATATTGTCCAAACTGTTATTTAGTCAAATATTTCTTAATCTACTTAATAGTATAAGTTTATACGCTAAATGTATAGAATTAAATATTAACTTACATAAATGGTCTCGTGTTTATCATTTTTAACAACAAAGATCAATGTAAATAACAATAATAACTTTTACTAATAAATTGGTATTAACGCTTAAAGAAATCATATAAAATACTCATACAACGATACGTAATTAATTAAAATAATTTAAATAATAAATGTTCTTTATTCTAAATATTCAAAGTTTATTCATTTAAAATTAGGTATTTCCAAAAATAAAGTATCAAACTCGTTAGTATATAGTCCATAAAAAAGGCCGTTGAACTTTAAAATATTAAGTTTCACATCAATGATTTATTTCAATATATTACTGTTATTTTGTTCAATATTTGTATAGACATTTTTAACGTTATTATTATGTATGAATCACTTCTCTCAATTAATTACGATTAAAATCTATGAATAATTACAATACACAACGTATACATTGTGGTTGGTGTTTAAAAGATGAATAGAAAATAACAATAAAACGAAAATAGTTTTAATTTACGTTCAAATACAACGAAAAATAATAGCATCACTATGTGTATCTACAAATACCATTTTACTTATACTCCTACTAACTTATTTTTTAAATTATAATTGACTTTTAAAAAAATGTATTAATAAAATATTATATTAACAGATTTATCAATTAACAAAAAAATAATTAAAATGCATAATACTATACACCTACGAGGTTAGGTATTTGATTAAAATCAGAAATTTTTTCAATATTACTGTTTTTTTTTTTTTTTTGTTAGGGAGGTATACATAGACATATTGTATAATAGACAAAAATTGGTTTTGTATTCGAATTTTAATTTTTTATAATGTTTTTATTGTTATGAGTAATATTATACTCGTAAAATTGGAAAGCAAATAAAAGGAATAATTGTTATGAAACTTGTTCGTTCGACTGTAACTCAGACTTCAGCGGATAAAAATAAATATATTAATAACACATATTGTTATGTAATATAATTTATTAAAACTAGTCATTCAATCCCAATTTTAAGATACCGAGTAATATTGCTCCCAATCCCGGTTCTAATCAATAACAAAAAAGGATTGCCTTTTTTTGTTATTGCTAATATCACTACTGCCAATACCCATCCTTAAACTATGACCGAAAACTTGTTTTCGGAATTTCTCAAGGATTGAAAAGCTGTTATCAATCCATTACTCCTTTTATGAACAACAGTTATAAAACAACTAAAACAACATCTATATTTTCTTCTTAACTCGTATACTTTATTAGTAATGAAGTATTACCAATTTCACTCCTTATTTCTGTTTAATATCTCTATATTTTTATCATAGTAATAATTATTATAAATATTATAATTTTTATTATAATTATCTCTGTATTCTTTGTTCGTTATAGCTACATTGTATCAATGTGTTTTAACTTATCTGTATTTTCAAACTTATATTATGAATATTTCTGTTATTATTGAACTTAATTGTTAAAACAAAATTAAAACAGAAGTTTTAAATAAAAAATTAAAAAGGCTAAAGTCTTAATTAGTTAGTTTTGTAAATCTGAGTATGTACATAATATTTTTATAAGTAAAGGTATTTTTTATTGTTAATCGAATGATAAACCACGTGCAAATTTCTAAGTAGGTACCTATCAATCTATATTTAATTCTTCTCAAAATGTATTTTCTACTTAAAAATAACTAAAAAAGTTATAGAATTACATATTACTGAAAACTAATCCAAACTACATTTATAATCTAAAAATACTGTTAACATTTCTAGTAAAAATAAAATATTACTTTATGTGACATTACTTTTTTAATATTTATCGTTGGTAAAATATATATTGATGAAACAACAATATATACATAATAATGATAGCCGATTTCTACCTATATTGATATTAAGTAAACACCATAATTTTTCTGACACATAATATTTAAATATACGTTGTTGGTTAGTTGTTTCATGAACTTCATAATTTTATTTTTCTTAAATTGATTTACTCTTAGATAACAGATAGTATATTTAAGATTTATTTTGAACAAATTAAATGTATCATAAATTACCAATTTTATTAAATAAATGAAAACATTTACTATGGTGTTACATAATTTAAAAATCGAATTTTTACGACAACGGATGTTGTACACTTACACACGTATTTAAATATCGTAAGTATTATAGGTAATGAGTAATTTATACCATCAAAATGTACATTTGGATGCTAATAAAATATCATTGGTGCGTAGGTGCGCGGATTTTCGTTCATTTTAATCGACAAAATCAACTGATTACTTGTTGAGTCCACGTGCAAATAATGTGAGGTTTCAATAAAAACTTTAAAATATTAACTGAAACATCAAGTCCCGGGTGTGATTTAGAAAGAAAAAAAACGAAACGCTAAAATATATGTGGATGACATCAACCTAAATTAAGCGCAGTATCATTATACTTAATAACTAGGGAACGGATGTAAATGCGCAAAATGTCTTCAAAATATGTTCCTAAAAATAGTGTAATACGCTACAAAACAAGCATTTGTTTTCAAATATGCGCTTATAATTAAATCAAAAATATTTCATTTTAAATCATTTAAAAATTTCACAAAAACATTGCAATACAAAATTGAACCATTGTTTTTGAAAATATCTTTATGCTAGTTTATGTATGTCTGCAAACGACTCCAAATTAGTGTTTTTACTTTAGTCATTTTAAAGTTACGAACGAATAATAAAAAAAAAATCACAAGGCACAAAACGGGAACACTTTTACGTGTAAAAATAATACTGATCAGTTTCCGCTATTCCGTCAAATTCAAGTGTTCAACTCTACCCTATGAGTTTATCTATATTAATTAAATTTATGTTTCATACAAGTATGACATTTTATTGTTGGCGATATCGATCAGTCTTCATTTTATCTGTATCATGTAAACGTGAAAATATATGGTAAATGTGCTTTAAATAAAAATATACATTATAAAACTACAGATTAAATATGCAAAATGAATGTTATTCAAATAAGAATGATCTAAATCGGAGAAGATTCTCATCAGATTTCAAAAAAGTTAACCCGATACATACTTCCATATGGATATAAACAGTGGCGAATTTTCAATTTTTTCTGGGGAGGGGGGTCCACAGTTTTTTACATAATTAATATAAACTATATATTATATTGTAATAGTTACGTCCTTATGCAGTTTTTGGAGGAAGTTGAACTAAATATATAATGTAATAATCGTATATAGTCTTATGTAATATTATATATATGTATCTATATATTGTATTTAGCATTATATATTATAAAGTATTGTTATAAAATAAATTCCAGTTGCTCGATTTTTTTGGCCAACTCCTCTATCACTTCATCAACAGTAATTTCAACTTCCCTGTGAATGTTTAACATACCCAATTCTGCAAATATGTAAGAATTGTTGTTAATTTTTTAATTTTTGGAGAAGTTGGGGGGGGGGGGCCCAGTACCCCTGGACTCCCCCTGTAAATACGCCACTGGATATAAATCCGTTCCCCAGTAATAACACTAAACCGTTGCAGCTCACAACGCTTAAAAAATATACAACGGGCGGACACATAACTGTAATTTAGCGACTAAAAACGTGTAAACCGATGCCGTCGTTGAACACACATTGTGACGCGTTCAGCGAGAGACGTTTTTAATTAATAGTCCTTGAGGACCGTGCTTACCGTGCTGCGGTGTTCGTCGACGCACTTCCGGCCGGGTACACTGGAGCGGCTAAAGCGTTACCGTCGCGAACGTTATTCACCCGGTCGAAGTGTCCTCTACAGGGATCCGTTGCGTCGGAGAACGGGCGCGGCGCAGGGGCGAGAGACGCGAAAAGAAAAACGCACGACGGGGAAACGGAGAAACGTTGAACGGCCGTTGGGTGCCAGAAGAAGCGTTCGGTGCGGTGCAGTTGACCGCCGGTCGCGTTCAGGTGTACTGGACGTGTGCGAGCGGTGACGGCGGCGCGGCTCGGCTCCCCCGACTCCGGGCGTACCCGCGCGGCACGCATCAGATACGCGCGTTGTGCGCTCCGCGGTGCCGGGGTCAGTGTTTGTTGACCTTGCCGTTACCACGGCGATACGCGCGTCCGCGAATCACAGGGCCCGGTTCAGTGAACCTCTGTGCAAGGGAGCGGGCCCGCGCCACAACCGTACCGAGTGCGTGCGCGCGCGCGCGCGTATTGCAGTGCGTGCGTGCATGGCTGTTCGACCGACCGATATGATCTACGGTGGCGGCGGGAAAATACGTGCGCGGGTTTAATAAATGTACGTTTCGTCCCCGTTTCGCGTGGGCACGAAATTCGAACGTTTCGGCACGCGAACGCGAGCGGAACGCGTACGACGAGTAGTTCGCCGCGGTCTCCTCGCGTCGCGACGAACAACACGGTCGTGTTCGTCCGGGCCGAAAGATGACCGCCGCCCGCGGTTCGCACGTCCGCACGCTCTTTTCCGTACCGGGTGCACGAACAGCAGCGCCGCCGCGACGCGTTGCTACGCGCGTCGATCAGGCCTGATGCGCACGCGCGGTTTTTGAACGCGCGGCGACGGCTGCGGTACCGCGCGCGCGTCTCGCGTTGCTCACAACTGGACCGTTGGTGACTCCGCGCGATAAAACTTCCGGGGCACCACCCCGGTACCGTGCTCGCACTTGCGGACCCTCATAACCAGGGCTCATAACTTATAGCTCTCTGAACGAGCGCTGAAATATGTTCTTAAAAAATCATCAACATAACCGCTTAGATATGCGCTAAAAATACCAAAATATGCGATAAAAAAATCGATTGCGTCGTTATATGATGTAAATTAATATACAACTTAAAACATAAGAAGAAAAATAAGTTAATTACCGTGAATTAACTATAAATAATTATTACTACTATAATTAGTTGTTTTGTTAAAAATATTTAAAGACTACGGACCTGAAAAGGGCGAAATAGCACTTATACTTCGAAATATGCAAAATATACAGCATAAGACTTCGTATTTAGCTTCTTAGTTATTTGAAATAATTTTAAAGCTCACGTACCTCTAGGTCTCTATAGGACCTCTCAAATATACAAACGCTAGAAGTTATGAGCCCTGCTCATGACGTTTTTACGCAATACACAGTACGCACCAGCGTTATTTTGACTCTAACGGTACCGCGTGTTTAAAAATCGCACGTGCACATCAGGTCTAAAGCCGGGTACACACCGAAGCATTTATGTATAATGTAACAGAGTTCGTACTCGCTTGAATGTTACGTGTTACATGTTACGAACGACCAAGTGTGTTTAGGGTCGAGAACTACTCGATATCAGTTGTTCGCCGGTCCATCCATCACGGTTTGTTCTCGTGTAACATCGTGTGCGATGCATTATAACAATTCACATTTGCGTTATAAAAAATATACAGGCGTACGATTATTTCGAATTATATTTAATCACTTTTTTACTTCGAAGATGTATTATAACATTTTAGGTCCATCGGGAAACTTGGTACCGGTTTATTTCTTGTAGCACTCGACAAAGTCTGTGACGCCTTTTCGTTGTTCCACTGTGTTTTCTAAATTTAAACGAAATCAATGCAAATAAAGCGCATTCCGTTAAAATAGTCCTGTAGAGGTAGAACGATCAAGGCGATTCGCTGCGAGCAACTGGTTTACACGCTGGCGTCGTATCGTAATGCAACATTTCTTTGACCGTCGGAATACCGACACGCGTGTGAATCGACGACGGCGCACCGTAACACCGTACACACTTGAGCATTACAGTTACTTTAAGGCGTTACGTAACACAAATTAAACGAAAAAATTAAACTCTCTGGCGTGTAACCGGCTTGAGACACCGAACGCGTTAACGCTGCGATCCGCGTGAACCCGACCGCCCTCTGTACACGGGTTCCGTTCGCGCGAGCCCGAACGCGTAGGCGGATCCGGCGGTCTCATCCGAAACGTCGTGTTCGTTTTTGATTTTTATTTTTTCAACAATACCGTTTCGCCGCGAACTCGTTGTATCACCCGTAACGATCGGCTCGTAAGATCTGTGTATGCGGACCCAGATCAGTTAACATGGCGATGTATTCACATACGTGTTTGCGGCTGTGGCCACTCCGGCAATGGCCAGACCTGCAAAACCCAGCTCCGTTTCGATAATACTTATTACATATTACATCCGTCAAATACATGTTCTTGTACTCGCGTGATATACGTACGACGTTGCGTTCGTTGTACGTTTATAGGCAACGGCCTGCAATCGGGTCGACAAACACTTTTGGAAATGTACGATTTCTGTATAAGTGATTGGTATGTACAATTTCAACCTGCGCGGTAAACAGCTCGGATACTATTTTCGCGGTAACGGTAGGGTACAGTTAGATTCAAGTCGCATTGGGAACGACTGACACCGAACGCAACAGTTGAAGAGTTTCAGCTTTGGTGCAGCTGTGTTTCGGGCGCAACGCATCGGGATCATCGACTCACGTTTTATCGTATACGATCGGGTACGGACGGTGTCGCCGAGTCGTACGAGATCCATTCAAAGGCGGATTTCCCTATTAGGCACTGTAGGCAGCTGCCCAGGGCGGAAAATTCTTTAGTGTCTTATTAGAAAACATCAAACGTATGAAAAAAAAATTGGAAAATTAATTACTTTATATTTACGAAAAATAATTGCATAATAATGTGTGCGTTTTGATAACGCATTTTTATATTATTGTTACGGTATATTTCGGTTCGTTATAATTTATAGTCGTAAAAACAACTGTACGGAAAACGGTTTGATAATACTGTATACATCACGTCGGAGTATAGTCCGCTCAGAGCCCGCGTTGCCACGTTAAAAATACGTACGGTCGACTATGGTCGGTCATAACTCGTATTATATCCCGATTAAGCATTCAGTGAACCACAAAATTCGTGGCTGTATGTAAACTGCGGCAAAATTAATCTTTTTCCAAAAGTCGATTTGTAAACTGCGGAAAAAAAATTAAGATTATACAGTCTGCGACAAAATCGATAAGATACCTACCTTCTATATATACTGTTTATTATAGTACCTACATCATATATACCTAACTATGTGTACGTATATCGATTAATTAATTATGAAATGTTGCGTCTTGCGTACAAAGCAGTAAAGTAAATCCAAATGTATATTTGTTTTAACGAAATATACTATTAGTAATATCGGTTCCTTTACTTTTGAAAATATTAGTTATTACCTACTTACAAGCAGTGGCGTATCCAGAACTTTTTTTTGGGGGGGAGTTATAAAAAATAGAACATTAAATTTTTTTTGAATTTTGTGGGTTTTTATTATAATCAATAAACAATATACATACACTAAACATTTTCGGGGGGGGGGTATAACCCCCTAACCCCCCTGGATACGCCACTGCTTACAAGTGTTAGAGGTTAATAGAAATAAAGTTAAATATTCATTCAACGTCATGGAATTTACAACAATGTTTAGCCAGAATGGAAAGGAATTAACAGTGTTAAGTAATTTTAAATTCAAATTTAAATATGAATCCAAAATAAATGGTAATAAAACACGGGAATGCACTAAAAAAAAAAAAAAAAAAATGCAAGGCAAAATTGGTTTTCACAAGGAAAAAATTTTATTACAAGAAAAATCAGTTTTAGATCATAATCATGAATCGGATTTTACAATTGAACGCCGAGCAGTAAGAAAAAACATCGAATACAAGTTAGTAATAACAAGTAATAACAAAAAATATATATATAGTATATATAGAAGGTATATATAATTAATTGCCGCGGTTTGTATTATGTATCTTATCGGATTTGTCGTAGATTGTTTAATCTTAATTTTTTGTTTGCCGCAGTTTACATATCGACTTTTAGAAAAAGATTATTTTGTCGCAGTTCACCATCTTCCAAATTCGTGATCAAGCCGCCACTGTATACACTACAAAAATAATTATGCGATAAGGTTGGTAAATATTGTGAAGTCATCATGGATAAAATATTGTTTTATTTTTATCGGAAATAAACATCGTTGTTCAGAAATATTATCGCCATAATAACGTATAGTGTAATATATATATTACGGGTACATTGGACGGCAGTGACTTCGGCGATGCACGGTTTTTCCACCGTCGTACGCGCACATGATATCTGATCGCGAACTTATTTTTGTCCACGGCCAACGACGACAAACGTATCGATAACAACGCGTCGTGTGCGACCCAGGCACGGCATCAGAATCTTACCAATGAGGAGAGGGGCATTTTTAAGCATAAACATAATAGAATCACCGACTAAATAAAACAAATATTAAATAAATAAATATTTATTTAATCTGTGATAGAATCATAATAATCCTATTATGTCTATGATTTTAAGTAAATTAACTGATAATAGTTGTTTCCCCGAATCAGTACTGGAGACACAGAGTCCGACTGCGTTCCTACGTCATGACACACACCTCATATCAATGTCATAATACGGTTTTTTTGGGCGAAATAAAATGTCTACGTAGGCATCTAATTGAACAATCGGGATTTTACAGTTCACAAGGACAAAAACGTTTATAAAAAAAAACTCGTCCGGTGCGACCAACGGCCGACGACGACCCGGAGAACATACGTGTACGCGGTTTTATAACCGTCCGTTTATTATTTGCGCACGTCGAACGGCGGAGGGATTGGTTTGAACCATCGAAATACGATCGAAAGAATACAACGTTGCGACGTACACACGACGCGTCGGAGCGGCAAGCTCGTTGGGGGAGGGGGGGGGAAACCCGACGAGAAACGATCGCGGTGGCCGCGAGTCGACGGGTCTAACTTTGGAAAAAAACAGCCACGGAGAGTGCGTCGTACCGGTGAGGGTGGCGGGGGCGGAGACGGTGACGACGAGCTTGACGAGACGCATCCGGACGGTTATCTCCACGGAGATCGAAAACAATGAACCAGCGACGGCGGCGTCCGAGAACCGCGACCGGGGGCATAATTGAACGTAATTGATTTTCAATGGTCGCCGGCGCACGTGGTTGGTTGCACTGCAATCGGTGACATCGGTGTTCGAGACCGTTGCGTCAACGCGCTTCCAAAGTTCGTGCGCACCCCGCCGTCATTCGTCGCTTCGCCGTCCGGCCGTTCAACGTTGTGTGCTCATTGTTCGCACCCGTATTCCCAGACCCTGTTCCGCCGTCGTCGTCCGCTAGCGTTTTCAGGTAACCGACGCTGAACAATGGCTCCGAAAAAGTGAGTGATTTTTTCCAGATCCGTCGAAACAATCATCCCGTATACGTTTTATGGTGCGTGAGATCCGTCGGGAAAGACATTCTTGTCAGACGGTGGGGGGGGGGGTTGGTAGTGTTTTTTCAACAACCTTTGTTCGATCAAGTCGTCACCGGACCCATAATCATCTTTTACGATGCGTTTGGACTACGGTCCGAACGAGAGCGAATAGTTTTGGCAGGGTTCGCTCCTAGAGCTTTACGATTGAAAAATAACCATTCTTAGAAGCGAACGCAAACGAATAATTTGCTCGGTGCGGCCGAATATCTAGCAAATCGACGAACAAATTCGTTCGCGTTCGGGCTAAAGACCATAAACGCACCTTTATAGGGTCGGGCTCCTCAACTCCGGGAGTCTGGCGTCTTAATGCTGATAGTCGGTTCCGGATCGACTTTCCGCGACGCTGTATCGTGAAAACTGAACGGTGGAGAAGGCGTTTTCTACGTCTCTCTTTGACGGATTCTAGGGTACAACTATCGTTTGTGGTGCGGTAAAATGTTCGTGTTTACGACAAGTACGATCGAGTGCTGTAATTTACTGGCTTATTTCTCGTTCTAATTTTAGAAACTCTCAGCGTCTTAATGACGTTTGTTGTTTTCTTTATTGTCGGTTTGAGATGCTAACCCATTCGTGTTGTTTTTTCGTTGGTGTTTGTATTACTGTTTGGTGAGATAATTAATAGTAATTCACGGAAACCCACTATATAGTACTACATAATGTTCTACATTTACGAGTCATGGCGACCTCGGGAAATGGACTTTTTTTTTCAAAATTTTGATTTTCCAATTTTTTATCTATCTATTTATTTAAGTGAAATCAATTACAATTTAATACATACATTACATTCATAATAGCTGATATATGTACCAACTGAGCTAAAGCTTGTATCTAATATAAGGAGTTCATGGACGTATAATTTGTTTTATATTAAAATACTTATGCAATTAAAATATGACTTAACGAAAACCTAATGTTATAATACATAGTTTAATAATTTATTAACGATAAAATATTTTATTTAAACATATTTACCTTTTATAATTGTATTAATATACACATTTTTATCAAGTTACCATATTGATTGCTTTTTTTATTTGATTTTTATTATATCATTGGTATTATTAAATTGACTTTCACATAAACTTTTCATGTACTATTTACTTCATTATTTATTTCATTATTTGAATTATTGAATATAGTTTTCTCCATATAATTCGAGTAATTTCTCAAACTTGTTAATAATGTATATGGTGGTTTAATGTATTTCCTAATTTATTGTCTATTATTTTTTTAACATTAAATGTGTGCTTTTGTGTGGATTTTAATAAAGTTTGTATAATGTATAATTTATAAACCAATAATAAATTTGTAAATAATTCTTCTAATGAGTATTTTAATGGTAGAGAATATGCTACTTTTATTATAATTTTTTGGTTAGTATGCAATAAAATAATGTTTGTTATATTTGAGCCTTCCCAACATGTTATGTTATTGTATGGCCATACAATAGAATAGAATTGCACGGTACTATGTATATTTGTCATATAATTGATTAATTGAGAAATCAAATTTTGTAGAATAAAACAGTTAAACTCAACATTTTATTTTTGATATTCTGTATACGTTCTGACTATTTCAGATTAAAATTTATTGTCATTCTTAAATATTAGAAAGATAATACCATTTGAATTGATTTACAACAGAAATTTGTCATACAAATTTCACATTTGTGTATTTTAAAGTTATATCTAAAAGGAAGCTGTGAATGAATTGATACTATTGGCATGTAAGTCAATTTATTCATGTTAAGTGATGACATATATTTTTTCCATTTAGTCATAGATATATCGTAAGTCAATTTTGACAGTTTATTTCAATTTTCCTCAATTATCTTCGAAATTGACTAGTACTATATCATCAGCAAACATAAATAATTTTATTTTTAATAATGAGGCAAGTATAAAGTTATATATAAATCAAAAAACCGTATTGAGCCTTATAATGTACCTTGAGTGATATCATAATCTTTGACATAACAATAATTACTGTACCTATTAAGATCCAAAAGTAATAAGTTTTTGTCTGTTACTCAGCTAACTAGTAAACCATTTTAACGTATTGTCATCAAATCTCAAGTCTTATAACTTGTCATGTTATAACTTTTCTTAAATTAATTATTTTTAGTCCAAGAAAGAAGTAAGATTTTTTTTTTTACCATCTTTCTTGTGTCAAAATTTATTTATATGAATTAAATTAAATTGTCCTGTTCCAATGTTTTTTCTTCTGCACTGTCCATTAAATATTATTTTATCTTTATCTAAGTATTCCAGTAGTTGTATTTTTATTATTTTTTCAAGAATTTTAGTTGAAATTCCTCCTATTGAATATCTGTTTATAGTTAGTGAAATCTGTTTTATCACCTTTTCTATGAATTAGAGTATTTATTATTATAAACAAATATTATTTTATATTTTATTATTATATATAAATAGGTAAAAAAAAAATTAGTGTAATCTTAAAATATGTATTTACCAGTTGGGCGATAATGAGAAATTTATAAATTTCAAAGAATCAGTTGGTACTATTACAGTATTTTTTTTTGAAAATTTACAATAATGAAAAAAATAGTGAAATTCAAACAATTATACTCTTTTAAATATATGTTAATAACTGAATTATTTAAAGTAATTTTCATCAAATTAATATAACTTTAAAATTTTAGTAGCAGATCTATTTACCAAAATATTGATTAAAATAAATTAACACTCATTGTAATACCTTAGCATTAGTTACTTGCCTAATTTATAATCAAAACTTGATTATGTGATTTATGTTTTTGAAATGTTTATAGATAATATACTAAGCAATTTTTTTTTCTTTATACTATCTTTGTATACAATGCTCAGATGTATTTATGGTCTTGTACCTGTATGGCCATGATTAGGACTTGGATGTTTATAAAATTGCATATTTTTTTCTATTGATCTAATTTTATTCCGATCTGGATACAAAATTAATTCATGTTCTACTAAATCAAATAATACTATTTTTATTTTAAATATTTTTGCCCTAGTACATTTTGAAATTTTTTTTAAAAACAATTTAAATTAATGGGTACATAAATTATAAAAAGAGGTTGGATTTATATTCTCTAAATATTATTTTAAAATATAATATAAGATATATGATGTTTTATATCCTTAAAAATACAAATATTAAGAGTTTCTTAATGTTATAAGTATTAAAAATTTACTAATTTTTAAATTGTATTAAATATTTTATGTTTTTTTTTTTTTTGTGCATAAATTCATATATATTACAATCATTTTAAATCCATTGTATTATTATTATTTTTTTGGTTAGATTAAGATTTGGATGTTTATCATTTTAAATCCATAAACATCCAAATCTTAATCTAACCATGATGATCATATTCAACAATTTGTAAATATTATTGATTGTTTTATTTTCTTAGACGATCATGCAATGAAACTAAAAATTGGCTGTATATTTTGACCAAATTAAAGTACATAATATGTCTTATACTAAGAGTATTATTATTTTTTGCTGCATATATAATGCTTAAATGTAGTGCACTGTTTGAAACTTTGTCTGAATATTTAATAACAAATATTAATACAGAAGATTTATTTGAGGCACCTCATGAAAATAGGTGAGTAGTAAAAAAATATTTATAAATATATATAAACAGCAAATAAATATTTCTATTTTTTGTTTATGTATGTTTTTTTTATTATAGGTGTAATTGTTCATCTTTTAATCCCAACAATCAAAGTAAAAATATTTTGGATAAAAATAAAGTTGTTGATACTATAATGGAAACATTAAATATAAAGTAAGTTATAAAATTAATGAAACAAATTATTTAGCTAAGATTTATCAAAACATATTGTTTATTTTATTCATTATTTCTCCACATAGTTTTAATGATAATGATTATATTGAACAAGAAATTCAACATGAATCACCATTAAAAAAAATTAACAATATTTTTGACACTGTAGATGAAACATTAAATATTAAGTGAGTAGCTAATTATCTTAAAACAAATTATTTTACAAAAATTAGTCCTAAGTGTACTAATAATTTAAATGAAATAGTGAACTTGTAATATAAACAAAGCATAAATTAGTAAATGTTTAATTTTTTAATGGCCCAATAATTTTATTTTTCTTAAGACTTGGAGACAACAATAAAAATGAATTGCAACTAAAAATATTTAAGGAAATCATGGGAAATATAAAAGAATTATCTACAAATAAACAGTAAGTTTAAGAATAATTTAAGCCAATTATTTTCTAGACCTTATCAAAGTAGGTAAATATATTTATTATTTTATTTATTATTTCTTTATAGATTCAATAATAATACTTAAACTTAGAATATATCATATTACGAGTAGTTTGTGAATGCAAATATTGATTATTATTTATAATTTTTTTTTTTGTAGATGTAATGATTATGCTAATATAGAAGAACCTAATATTCAACATGAATTACAAAAAGAAAATATTAATGATATTTCTGATACTGTAAATGGAACATTAAATAATAAGTAAGTTGCTAAATTTCTTATACATGTTATTTTACTAAGATTTATGAGAGTATCTTAACAATTAATTATTTTTGATAAAATAATAGCAATCTATTAATTTTATTAATAATATATAAACATGCGAGTTAAACTTTAGTTTATAACTTTTTAATGGTTTAATATTTTTTTTCTATTTTTTTTTCTTAAAAAGATTTGAAAATGATAATCCATGTGATAATCCTTATAAAAAATTAGAACTTAAAATGGTTGAAGTAATTACTGATAATGAAAAAGAATTATCTATAAATAAACAGTAAGTTATTAAAATATCTTTAACTCTGTTATTTTTATAGGATTTAACAAAGTAAACAGATTATTTTATTCACTATTTTTTTAGATGTAATGTTAATTATTTCATGGAACATAAAATTCAACATGAATCTCAAGAAGAAAATATTAATCACATTTCTGATACTATAAAGTAAGTTGCTGAATTTCACAAATGAGTTATGTAACTAAGATCTGTTGAAGTATATTGATTATTATTTTTATTGTTTCCTTGTAGATTTATTGATAATTCTTATTTGGAACATAATATTCAACATGAATTAAAAGAAGAAAATGTTAATGATATTTCTGACATTATAAATGAACCTTTAAGTATAAAGTAATTTCCTAAGTGTCATAAATAATCTTTTTAATTGAGATCTATCAAAGTATATTAATTATTATTATTATTGTTTCCTTGTAGATGTATTGATAATTCTTATATGGAACATAATATTCAACATGAATTACAAGAAGAAAACATTAATGATATTTCTGACATTATAAATGAACCTATAAGTATAAAGTAATTTCCTAAGTGTCATAAATAAGTTTTTTTAACTGAGATCTATCAAAGTATATTTTTTATTATTCATATTGTTTCTCTGTAGATGTATTGATAATGCTTATATGGAACATAATATTCAACATGAATTACAAGAAGCAAACGTTTATGATATTTCTGACATTATAAATGAACCTATAAGTATAAAGTAATTTCTTAAGTATCATAAATAAGTTTTTTTAACTAAGATCTATCAAAGTATATTTTTTATTATTCATATTGTTTCTCTGTAGATGTATTGATAATGCTTATATGGAACATAATATCCAACATGAATTACAAGAAGAAAATGTTAATGATATTTTTGATTTTATATATGAAACATCAAATATTAAGTAAGTTGCTAAATATTTTTAAGTGTGTTAACATTAGATCCTGCTCACTAATGCTATTGTACAAAGATTCGTTACATTGTTTACATTAGTGCGTTCATTCAATATCCATCTAAATGGTTTCTTTGATATTATTGCTCTTCAGTCGATCCACGACAGCACAAAAATAAATCATTTATGTATAGTTGGACTGCTTACATTATTCATGTGGTAGCATTCGTGTGTGGGCTCTAATGTTAAATGCATCTCTATAAAAGTATACTAATATTTATGATGGTAAACATATAATTACTTTTAATAAAATAATAGCAAACTATTAATTTTAATGTATAAACATGTGAGTATAAATGTCATTAATGGCTCAATAATTTTTTTTCTTCAAGATGTACCGATGATAATCCTAAAAATGAACTACAACATACAATTTTTGATGTAATTACTGATAGTGAAAAAGAAACATCTATAAATAAACAGTAATTTTAATAAATATTCTTAACCAGTTATTTTTCTTGAATTTATCAAAGTTCAAAGTAAAAAAATAAATTTATCTGTTATTTTTTTGTAGATGTAATGATAATAGTTATATGGAACACAAAATTCAGCAAGAATCACTTGAAGAAGAAAAAGTAAATAATATTTCCAATACTGTAAATGAAACTTTAAGTATAAAGTAAGTTGCTAAATGCCATAAATAAGTTATTAACAAAAATTTATTAAAGTAAACAAAATATTTCTTTTAATAAATAAAAAGTAAATTTATACCTAATTTAACTAAGCATAAACATGTGATTATTCAATTATTTAATGTCTTAAGTGTTTTGTTTTTTTTTTCTGTAGACGTTCTGTTATTGATGATCATAAAAATGAAGTACAACTTAAAGTAGTTGAAGTTAAACCTAATGCTAAAAAAAATAGATCTACAAATAAACAGTAAGTTTCATGAGTATTTTAATTTATTTCAAATTTGAATTAGTCATCTATTTGAGTCGTCAATTTTTTTAACTTCCCTGGTTTTTGTACTCAGAATCTTGCACTTTTGTTTTTGTTAAGTACTTTATTTGTTGATCACATTAAATATAAATTACAAAGAGTAAATATCATTACAATTACTTTTACTAAAAGTGAAGAAAAATTAAATCAAAAACAAATTTTGTTAACATTTATTGTTTTACATTTTTAATTAAGTTAACTTATGAATGTATCTCATAATTAACACCGTATTGTAACTACTATGTATAGTATATTATTATATTTTTCTCTCAAGGAATAAACATTTTTCATGTACATCCAATGATCAAAATAAATTACAAATAAATCAAAAATTAAATAAAGTGTATGAATTACAACCAAAAGTGAATGATGTTTATATTGATACTGTAAATGAAATATTGAATGAAAAGTAAGTTTCTTTCCTTTAATTCTTCTTAAACCAAATTCTAATCATTTTTGTTCTGATATTAATCAAAATGTATTTATACTACACTATATAAGCTTTTCAATTATTTCTTTGATAAATTATGGTTTAAAAAAAAAAAAAAAAAAAACATTTGTCTTCTAAATACAATAATGCAAATTAATTACAAATAGAAAATAATATTACTACAGATTTTAAAAACAAATAATTTCACTTTGAACTTAACATTTAAATATTATATTATAACAAATCATTTGTGATTATTTATGATGTATATGATACTTAAATCTTAATATAATATAGACATAACATATTTCATACTAAGTAAATTTTCATTAAACTAATATTATACACTATATTGTCATATAGTGTTCTCTTTCACAATTAAGATACACTAACTTTTTTTTACTTAAATAGAAAAAACTAAAAATATAAAAGAATTTATATTGATTATTAGGAATGTCAAAAATGACCAATATATAGTGTAATAAAACAATACATTTTTTTTTCTAGTCAAAATTCTCAAGTTCACAAAGAAACAATAATTGAAAAGTTAGCTCTTATTCCGTGTATTAGTAATCTTTATTTGTTTTATCGCAAATGAAAACAATGAAACTGTTCAAAATAAATCATTAAAATGAAACTAACTTTAACAATTTAACAAAAAAATAAATAAATAAATAAATAATGTATCCATTTTTTTTCTTATCTTATTTTTGTAGATCTATTTCTGAAACGATTACAGTAAAAATCGATAGTGGGTGAGTGTTAACAAATTATAATTTATATTGTACTTATAATTAATTATATAGATGTTTTTGGAAGTATCAAAAGAGATTTATTAATGTGATGTAGGTTTCTATTAGAGATTCTATCTATCTTGTTAGTTTTTACTAAATTATAGAAAGAAAAATTAACAGAATATTCTATAACTACATGATTCATTATAGTTTTTTTTGCGTATTTTAAGGTTTACGAATAAGTACCTAGAACAGTTTAGTTTAAAATTCCTAACTCATACAATATGAGCCTATTATTTGGCAATAACACATAATTAGTTTAAACTTTTCTTAATAATTCATGTAGTTTTTAAATATTGGTTAACAAATTAAAAAAAAAAAAATACATCTGTTTAATATAAGTAGCATTGCAATTTATTAATGATTTTATCTATATTTATTATACATATATTTTATTTCCTTGCTCTATTAACAAAATGTTACGATTTACCAACTATATAATATATAAAAATATTATTTTTATAGATATCAATACAATATTATCACGATTAAAAATTATTTAATTGATATTTCTTAGGTATAATTGATTATTTTTATTTTCCTTCAAAATTAAATAAATATTGAAATTTAATTATGTGATATTGTAGTTATAACTATATTATTACTACAAATATGCACTCATTTTCTAGAATTATTACTACCGACCCTATTAAAGTTGAAAATAGAAGTAGATTTCCACATCGAACAATGAATATTATAGTGAGCACCTTAAAAGAAAATGAAATAAAAGATAAACAATTGATAATTGATGGGAAATTAAACAGAGAATTAGATAGGTAAGAATTTATTACTTTATATTTTAGAATAAACTATTTGGATTATTCTTCATAATATTTTCTTAACTTTCAAATCAATTTTAATGGAATTTCTTACTGTAAGTTTTTTCATAGTCCCTATAAGTACATATGTTACAATAATATAATCAATTTTAAGTTTGATTTTATTTTTATCCTATAATATAGTATCAAATGAGTGAGCTATCATAGTTGTACATTAAAAGCTAATAAAAAAAATAAAAATAAAAATAGTATTAAATGGTTTCAAATGCTGTTAAGAGGATGTCAGCGCAAAATAAAACGTACGCAATGCTTCAGAGATGGCGTTGCGCGCCGTGGCAGACCGTAATCACGTCTATTATCGTCGACCGTGACGTTCTGTCTGCCGTAGTTTTGGGAGAGACACATTATTACTCCACGAATAGTGATATCAAACGTTTCGTTGCGTATTTATATCCGGCTTTAATTTGTAAGCACGCTGTGCGCTCGCTTTTCACTTTACTTTAAGATACGTTAAACGTTACTAAATAAGTAATTACAATGCCAATAGAATCAATAGAATCCAATAATAACACTAACATTATAAAAATTACACACTGAATATGACTAGAATATTATATATATTATATATTTACATATATTTAAAATAAAGTTTAATAGAAAAATCTTCCAATAAAGGTACTTCATAATAAAGATGCTTTCACTGCTTTAGGTTTTGGGTATAATATTTTTATAGATGCTAGTTAACTATATTATAGGTATTAGGAATTTACATTAAATTTCATCAAGTAAATTTAAATTCTAAAGTACAGTCGATTCCGTTTTATTGGGACACATCGGTTGCATGTTATTTTTTCCCAATAATCTGAAACGAAAAAAAAAACATAAATTTATAGAAAAATTGATTTCTTATGATTTTATTATTACAAATACATATTACAATAACACAATTGTAGAAATTATTTAACTATACAAACATTTTATAAAAAAATCAATAGGTTACCTTTCTTCGCAGATGGACCACCGATTTTTAACTAAAGACCTAGTAATTTTTTTTCTGATAGTACGCTTTACCATCTATTTTTTATTCACCATAGTTAAAAATTAAGCTCTCGTGTTTCTCATCGAATGGACAAACGATAAATGACGAGTTTTAATTTTGGATGAGGTACAATTATTAGAAATTTAAAATATTATATGTATTGTACTTCATAAATATTATATATACAGTATATATACGTTTAAATATTTTTTATATGATTAATATATAAATCACATAGGTGGTTTGGTTTATTCACTGAAAATGGTAAATATTTATAATATTATTCTTTACTAGTTAGACTGGAAACATCACAATAATATTTATTTTTATTAGGTTTCGGTAAGATACCATTTAGCTCGACATCTACAATAATAATTATTATTATTACTGGAAAAAACTAATCGCCGAATAGTTAAAAACAGATCGTGCTAGACGCGACCAAATCCGCCGTTTGTCGTAGTGGTGGGAGAAGTTTTTTTTTTTATTTATTTATTAATAAAGTGTTACCGATATCAAAGTCATCTAACTTATTGTTATAAAGACATTTTTAACATGCAATAATTGTTATAAGTAAATTATAAATACAAAAAATACAGTAATTTACATAGATGAATAAACAAGTTACAAATATGATATAATAATTAATAGTTAAACTAGGTGTTTTTTTTT